TATAAATATTATTTAACAATTTTTTTCCAAAAATTAAAGTACATACTCTAAAATAATTAGCTCACTAATTAAACAGTTCTAAATAGTTGCCATTAATCCTCATACTTTAAGGTTCAAGTTTAAATCCATCTTCAGTATATTTTTCGAAATCTGATAATTCTAAAATAATCATTTAGTTCAAATCGTCATTTTACAAATTAATTTTATAGATTCAAATTTACTATAAATAAATTTTAATTATATCATTTTTAATAATCTTTTAAATTTGATTATAGCTTCATCAACCTCTAATTCAGTCTTGCTTTTCGTTTAACTTATTTTAAACATCTCTAACCAGCTTAATAAGTACTTTCAATTTTTTATTTGCCAAAAAATCTTTTTTTTTCAAATTAATTTGTTACCATTATATTCAAAAAAAATTCTGTATTCTCCTTCATTTACTCAAATGTTTCTAAAACCTAAACAATCCTTAGTAAATTCTGTTAAAATAAAATTGAGAAAAATAGCTCAATGATAAATGAGGTTAAACTGATAGCAAAACTAATAAACAAATGCTGGTGAATTAAAGATATTAATATCCCATTTTTAGATAATAAATGAGTATTCAATAACAATTCGATGATTCATAAATAGAGAAGTGTACAAAAAGTAAAATTAATTCATTAGATTAATTAAGTTAGTAATTTATTGAGTTTAAAATTGAATATAAAATTTTGAAATTTATATCTAAAAAAATATTAGGTATAAAGTAATTAAATAAAAGGTTTTTATCGATGAGAAATTAAATTAGAATTCAGATCAACTTTATAATTTTATTAGCTAAGATTGCTTTTTACGTTTGATGAAAATGTAAAAGAAAAGATTAATTTAAATGCTTATATAAAGAGAAAACTGAGGAGTAATAGTCATACTGAATTATTTAATATATTTATGAATATTATTTTAAATTTAGGATTATAATTTATATTAAATATTTCAATGACTGACCAAAACATTCCAATTTATAGAAGGGGAGTTGAAGAAGTTGTAAAAAAATCTGTGGATGAATATGGAAAATAGAAATGGGACATAGAACATAAAATATTTGATAAAGTAAGCTTAAAATAATTAATTAGTAAGAACGTGAAGATGAAGAATATGATAAGAATAATCCTAGATATACAAAATCATTGTAAGCCCGTACTGATTCAGTGGGTATTGATGAATAAATTGGAAAAAAGAGGAACGTAGTGAAGGAGGGATTAAAAAAAGATTAGAGCGGCTTTTATTGTGAGTTATGTGATGAATTGGCTACAGATAGTTTATCGTGGTTGGATCATTTAAATTCTATAATGCATAATCGATTGCTTGGAATGAATATGAAAGTTGATAAAGTGACAGCTACTGATGTAAAAGAAAAATTACAATTAATTAAAGATTCAACTAAGAAAAGTTAAATATAAGCTTAAGAAAAACCAAAATCAATAGAAGAAATCAGAAAATAGTTAGAGGAATAATTATAAAAGAAAAAAGAAAAGAAATAAAAAAAACAATAAAGTAAATTATTGGACACTACATTAAAGAATAATTAATAAGAAATTGATTAAGAGGATTTAAAGTTAAAGTAATTTTTAAAAAAATGAATAACATCATTCTATTTTATATAATATTCATTCATCTGATTTATCAATGTCTAATTTATAGATATTATCTTTAACGTGCTCTGCGCATGAATCTAGTATATATAAAAAAAATACATAAGCAATCTTCAAAATTTTTCAATCTTCTTCCTCTTAGAAAATTTTCAAATAATTGACATCGCTTTCCACAAATGACAGCATAATCAGTTACTGATTTGAATTCACTTGGAATATTCATTGCTATAATCTTAATAATATTTTTTCTAATAAAATAATATTAAAATACATTATTAGAATTAAAATTCATATCACTAGATTCACCTAAATTGATAAGAATCATTTCAACTATCTCCAAAGTATTTTAATTGTTTAATGTAATCATCTATTAAATAGATTTAAATTTCTTTTTATTAGGAATAATCCTTTTAACGAAAACTAGAAAATTATTTTTTATTCAATTTGTTTTATGATTTAAATTTAACAATTTTTGATTCAATATCAAAATTCTTCATAAATCATTTGTTTATTATTTATATTCAGGAAGAGAGTAGTTTAATTTACGAGATGATATTAATTTTATAATTTAACATATTATAATTTTCAATTCATTCTATTCTTTATATAAAAAAATTCAAAGATGCAAAATTAATTATTTTAATATTTTATATTAATGTTGATTCATCTTATTTATGTAGTATTAAACATACACATAATACTCACTGATTTCTTTGATGTTTGCTTACAGTCTCAAATTTTTCATTTGCTAATATGGGCTACAATCAGTGTTTAAGTTTATAAATATACCTTAATATGGGTTTTATAAAATTAAGAATAAGTAAAAGCAATAATATGTTTGAATAGGCAGAATCTGTGTTTATAAAAAATATGTAAAAGTTGACTTCACTAAGCAAATTCCCAGAGACTTTACTTAAACAATACATTATGCCAACATTAATTGATGCAATTACCTTAAAGGATATAGTAAGATTCTTAATAATACTTAGTAACTTACGATAGCATTCTTCGTTGCTTTAAATTTAGGTATTTCCTATTTGACCTTGTTCCTGACAAATAAAGCAGTTAGAAGCATTTCTTTACATCTATTCTATGGATTATATTATCATTAGAATAAAAACTAATAGCTCTATCAATTTTGGATGCAAAGAATACAAAAAATCCTTTTAGAAAAATAGTAAGCTATAAAAAACAAATTTTAAAAGTAAAAACCCTGATGGTTGGTTTATAATATATATATGTAAAAGATAAAACAATCTTTAAAAAATATATTTATTTTCATTTCTAATCAACATATTATATTGCTCTTCAGGAAACTATTACTAAGAATATATGAAAAGACTTTTATGAGTTGCCTTTTTTAAATTTTTGAGCAAAAATTTGATAGAAATGCTTTAAATTTAAAGAATTCTGAGTACATTTAAAAATAATTTATCTTGATTTATTATTCATAAAATTTACTTTGAAATAAATTAAACTCTATCTTAGTTTTTTGTTTTTGTATTGACAAATTCAATAACTTTAACTTATTCATATAAATTTTATTATGAATTTAAATTATGATGCATAAAAGTCTTAAGATAATGTTAAATCTCATGATGAAGCTAAAGAATCATACTTTTCTAACAGTAAGGTGTTAGATTTTCAAAATATTGATTAATATAATGATTCAAATAATTTTGCTTCATTTTATGCATTAAATAGACTTAGTAATCGTTTAGAAAGTACATATAAGATATATAAAAGATAGAGCTTCCTATAATTAAAATAATTAATCTGTGGTATTAATGCAAAAGTACAAAAAACAAAAAATGATAAGAACTGTCTTTTTTTATACATATTTGTTAATAACAATATTTTAGCGTCCATCCTGGTGCAATTTTGTAGATTATTAAGTATAAACTATGCTATTTTAGGAATACTGTAGTTTATAAAACGGTTAGAAGATACCTACAATGGTAAATTTTTATTTTCCAATAAACTTGTATTATTGTGTTGAAATACTGATCGTTTTATATCTTTGCTTGAGTAAGGTATATAAAAGATAAATTTTAAGGTTTTTAAAGCTACAATAATCGGATAACCAAATTATAAAAAAATAGGTATAGTTTTACTTATAATAATGATTTTAATCATTATCAATGATATTACAGTGATGATACTAGAGAATAACAGTCCAATTAACATTAGTTTATTAATGAAACCTATATTAATAGTCTTTTAGAAGTATCTAAAAATCATTATAGAAATAGAAGAACTTTACGCTCCACAATAATTCACTATTGCTAAATTATTAATAAAGGAAAAGAGATTTATTATTTGATGGTTTTCTCTTTAATTTTTTTTGCTGGATTAGGTTCTGCGATATTTTAGAAGGAGGATTAATATGAATCATCAAGTGCTATATGTTAAATAGATAAACCACCATTTTCATAGCCTGAACAATGTATAGTTATCATACTTTTTGTGCTATAAACTACAGTTAATTCACCTGATATATATTTACCATATTATGGAGAATCAAGAGCTTATGTCGCATATTTTATTTTATTTCAATTCATAAATACAACCTTAATCATAAACTTAGTATTAGCTTTCTTTTATTCATCCTATAAGGATCTTATGTAAAAAGAAACTAAATAAATTTTATCCAAATACAATCATAGATTTAGCCTTTAAACATAAAAATTTTTTAGAAATAGAACAGGATCTGATATTACAAGAATAGCAGACATGGCTTCACTTGATAGTGTAATTTCAAGATCAATTTACTAAATTTTAGATGATAAATTTTATGAAATTTTTATTGAATTATCATCTTTAATGTCATTTGCAATGATATTTGTCAAGTTTTCTAAATTGAAATTATATATTTTGTTAGTTTGCAATTCTATAATGTTTGCAGAATGTCTTTTATTATTTTATTATAGTAGTAAAAGAAGATTTTGGAAAAAAAAATCATTAATTATTGAATTTGTATTTTCTAGTTCAATTCTTCTATTTATAATCCTAAGCTTACTTGGATATGAACATTAGAAAATTTTGCTTGTTTTATTATGTTATAGATTATTAAGAGGATGCAAATGGATGTTAAGGAATAAAAGCTTTACTATTTTAATAATTTCAATAACATCAATCTTTTAATATATAGTACAATTATTTGGTGCATTATTTATTTTATTTATGCTATTTACAGCCTTTGGGCAATTACTCTTTGGAGGGAAAATTTTCTTTTCTGATTAGAATGAAGTTCATTATGAATTAGCAAATTTTAATGATTTTTTATCAGGAATGTGTACATGTTGGTTTTTGCTTATAATTAATAATTGGAATGTAATTTCTTTTAACTATGCAAAAATATTTAATACTGATTTAGTTTATATATTTTTTATCAGTTTTTATATAGTTGTAGTATTATTGACTCTTAATGTAACTATTGCATTATTGATTGAATATATAGTTTAAAAGATAAGTGTAAGAAATTAGACAGATTAATCTTCATCAGAACCATAGGATGAGATGATTTACAATTAATAAACACTAAAATGATTTAATTTTTTTTTTATATTTTAAATTTATATGTTAGAGATTTTTATATTAATTGATTTCAAATCAAAAAAAATATAGACAAAGTTTCTTAATTTCCAAATAGGTTCATATAGAGCTGAAAAGTTGGATCATATTTTCATAATAAAATTCGAAAATTCTAGAATCAATTTGTTATAAAATAAATAATAATTTGAAGTTAACTTAATTAAAGAAAATAATGATTAACAATCACTATGATATCCTTGGTGTTAAGAGAGATGCAAAATAACACTAAATAAAGAAAGCATATCATAAATTAGCCTTAAAATGGCATCCTGTATTTAAATTACCTATATTTAGGATAAAAATAGAGAATAACGTGCATTTGCATTAGATCAATTTCATCGAATTAACGAAGCTTATCACACATTATCGAAATTAGATTAAAAAATTCTATATGATCATTAACTATCTCGGTATGAATCTATAGAAACAATAAAAAATCTAATTAGCTTGCTGAAACATAATAATTCAATGGATTAAAATAATGATTTTGATTATTCCTATGATAATTTTTTATCTAAAGAAGAATTAGAACTTCTTAGTTAGTTCAAAAAAAGAATCAACCAACCTGGTATTTAAAAAAAAATCAGAAAATCTCACTGATGATATTCATTAATTCATATTTGTTAATGCTCTTTAATTTAATTATATATTAAATTTCAATTAGTAGATCACATTATTTATTAATAAGTTTAATTCAATCATTAAAAACAAAAAAAAGAAATTTAACAATTAATAAATTTTTTAATAGAACTAATAGAAAATGAATAACAATAAGATATAAATGATAGACTCAAATAGTTTAATCATAATCGATTACAAAGATAAAAGTTAAATATAAAATAAGTAGATATATGATAATTTTATAAAATTTAGTATTTAAAAAGAATCTCAAATTAAGTAATTGTAGAGCTTGTTAGACAAAACTAAGAATAATTATTAATTATTGTTTGAATAATTCTTAAATTACAGTATGAATATTTATGTATACTTTAGAGAAAACAATTGAAAATTTGCTCTAAAGCTGTTTGACAAACCCTCAAGAAATCAATAATCATGAACTCAATTAAAAAAAAAATGAATTATTTAAATTTGAAAAAGAAAATCTATTTTTATAAGAATAATTAAATAATTTAAAGAAACAATTAAATATCACAAATTTAGAATTAAAGAATGAAAAAGAATAATCAAATGCCACAAAAGAATAATTAAATGATGTAATAAAAAAATTAAATTTTGCAACAGAATAATTAAAATATGAAAAAGAATAATCAAATGCCACAAAAGAATAATTAATAAACAGTGAGTTATAAATAAATAAACTATTTTTGGAACTCAAAACTAACTAAGATAATTAAATCAAAACAGAAAAAATAATAGAATAAATTAAGTCAGAAAATTAAAATAATGAATAAGTTTGGAAATCAAAAATTTTGAGTTTATAGCAAAAATTAGAGTTTATGTAAAAATAATAGAAATCTGATTCATTTTCATATAGAATAAAAGAAGATAAAAATAATGGAGTAATAGAACATTTATAAAGTAAATTTGATAAATAAAATAGATATTGCCAAAATCATCATTGAAAAATTGAATTATATAAATAATTAATATTAAGCTGAAATTCAATAATTAGAATTCAGAAAAAAATATGCTTAGGACTTACTTAATTTGTTTCACCAATATTTAAGGACTCCACTTTTGCAAAATGAATTTACATTTAGACATGATTTTAAGGATAATAGAATAAGATCAGATTGAGAAAAAAGTAATGAATTGATAAATATTAATAATATAATTATAAAAAATTCAATTTTTATAAAAATAATGAGATAGGAGGATCCATTTGAACAAGAAATAGTCCTTTATTAATAGACAAGAAAGGTAAATTTTGATAAAAATAAAGAGTTTAAAAAGGATGAAAAATTAATCTTAAGAATTATATGTTGTTTCAAAATAATGGCTTCGACAATGGAAATATTATGTAGAATATATTGAAGGGATAGCTACAAATGAACGAAGGGAAAAAGTATTAGATTCTTTGATTAATTAGCCTGGAGCATTAAATTGTGAATTAAAATCAAATGAGAATTTTTTATTAAAATATCCTGGAGAACATCCTTTTAATTAGAAAATTATAAAATTACAGTCAGAGGATTATGTTTTAGTATTAAATCAATTTTAATTATGAAAGGTTAATAAATTAATGATAAATGAGTGGAAAAGAATATATGGTGCAGATTTGATTATATTAAAATATGTACATTTCAATTAGTCAGGTATTCCATCATTAAATGTTAATTTATTAAGAGTAAATTTAAATTATATAACTAGTAACCAATATATATCAATATAAAAAATCCAAAAAGAGGTTTACTTTAAGTAGATGAAGGTTGCATAATAAAATTATGGATTAAGTTATTAATTGCAGCAATAAAAAATGAATTCTAAATAAATGTTGATAATATAAGATTATGGAAACACAGGCATTTTCAAGCAGATTATGCAGTTAAATAGTTGGAAGATCATAATGGACGCTTTAATGGGGATATTTTAGATGAAAATCTTACAGTTGGATCTTATAAAGCTGATCTTATTATTATTGATATTTAAATAGATGGAAAATGGTAATATGATTAATTAGATGTTAAAGTATTATTATTTCTAATCTTAGATAGTTTGTTATGAAGAATTTAAATACTTACATGAAAAAGCTTACAAAGGATGTGGTAAATTCTTTTGTGATAGAAATTATTGTAAAAGTAATCCAAATTTTTCATAAATTGGATTTGATAAGAAAACACTATAAAATTTTCTTATTCAATAGTTTAAGGAGGACTCAATAGATTGGAACAATGTATGCTGGAATCAAATTATAGAATAAAAACCTATATAATAAATAGAAGGAGACATAGTTGTTACTATAAGTGCATTATCTAATTTTCCTAACAGTTTTGGAGCTTCCTTCCTTCTTAACTTTAATAATTCTTATGAAATGATTAATTACAATAATTCAAATCCAGAATTGAATTTGTAAATTATTTACTAAGTAAATGAAGCAATAAATGTAAAAATTCTTAGTTAATGGATGGAGAACCTAGTTTCGAACAAATAAGAAAATATTTATTTTGTTCGATCTATAATAATAATAATGCATTTTACATACTTTAATGATTTATTGCATTAAGAAAAGAACCTAATTTTAGAAGCTCTTTTGACCTTAAGTAATTAAGATAAATAGTTATTGTCTGAATATCTAACAACTTTACCTGATGAATATTATATTAGATATATATAAACTACAATAGAAACTACAGGGGTTTTCTTAAAATAATAATCATAGAAATAGATTCAATTATTAAAAAAAACAGAAATATAATTCGTTAAGTAGAGGTTAGAATTTTTACAGGTATTTTACAAATCTAATAAAATTTTGAAAAGGTTGAATCCTATAAAATTTTAGATTGCAGAAATTTCTAAATTATATCCAAAATATGGCGACTAATTAGAATATTTCTAATTTGATAGTTATATTAAAAATGATTTAGAAAAATACTATTTTACATTTTGTTAATATCCATGGGTTATACCATTAGAATTTAGAAGTGATATTTTAGCAATTGATTCTAGAATAAACTAATTAAGCTAATATGACGGCTTTTAAATATTATAAGAACCATTTTTATATCTGAAGATTGATCGAAATGATGTTGTAAAAAGTGCCTTAGAAGCGCTGTCAAGAGATAATATTAATTTAAAGGCAAGACTTCAAATTGTCTTTTAAGGAGAATAAGGATATGATCAAGGTGGATTAGCAAGAGAATTTTTCTCATTACTAATACAAAAATTATTTGATTTGAATTATGGAATGTTTGTTCCAAAAAATAATAACACTATTTTATGGTTTAATAAACACAATATGGAAATGCCCATTAAATATGAATTAATAGGAATGATTTTGGGATTGGCATTATATAATCAAGGTATAATATAGTTATTTAATTAGTGTGTCTTGATCTTTAATTTCCATAGGTTGTTTTTAAGAAATTGATGAATGAACCTACATGTTTTGAAGATCTAAAAGAGTTAGATCTAGATCTTTATAAAGGTTTAAATACACTTGATGAATATGACTAAAATAATATTGAAGATGTTTTTTCTCTAAATTTTACTATCAATGAAGTTGCCTGGGATAATATCAATTTAGTTGAATTGCTTGTATTTTTTTTTAAGATTAATTTAGCCAAATGGTACTTAAATATTAGTAACATAATAAAATAAACATGAATATATTAAATTATGCACCAACTACTATTTGAATGAGTCAATCAAAATTCCTTTTTAATCTTTTTAAAAAGGTTTTTGGAAAGTTGTAGAAGGAAATGGAATTAAATTATTTTCGGGCTCTGAATTATAATAATTGATAGTTGGATAACAACATTTTAATCTTTAAGAATTAGAGGACTCTACAGAATATGATGGGTTTGAAAAAAATTCTTAATATATTAGGTAAAAATTGAAAAATAGTTTTTTAGATCCTTTTGGGATTTTCTACGTTCATTAAATGAAGATTTATAAAAAAGATTTTTGTTTTTTTGCACTGGTTCTGATAGAATTCCTGTTGGTGGCTTGAAATCTTTAAAATTTTAAATTTAAAAACATGGAGAAAGTATTACTTATATTTATAATCACAGATTCTGAATAATTGCCATCAGCTCATACATGCTTTAATGTATTTTTATTACCTTAATATGATTCAATAGAGAAAATGATAATTAAACTTTAAATTGCTTTGTAAAATTGTGTAGGATTTGGTTTAATATGACTTTTGCCGGATTAAGTAGAATTAAATATATAGAAATATTTTAATATATATATCAATCTAATTTTTAACTATAAGTTCTAACTTTTTATGTTGTAATCTGAAAATCTCTAATAAAATTAATTTTATTTAAAATCTTTATGGCAATTTTAGGATCTAAAGTATCAAATTTCAATTCTTTGAAATCATCTTTTTGTAATATATATTAAAAATACTCTCTTATCTAAAAGTAATGTATAAAAATTAATTTGCTATTCTAATGTCAACTATATCCTCAATTAATCGTTCTGGGAATTTTGTACCAGTGTTTTTATTATTTAAAATTCTTTCAAATAATCCTAAAATCATATTTAATGATTAGATACCTAAATTTTCTTTTTTGTTCATATTATAAATTCTAAATTGATCGATACCCAATATTCTATCTTATCTTTTTCCTCTTTCATTGATTTTGACAACAGTAAATTTTTCATATTTAAATGCTTATATATGATTCAAAGGAGCATCAACATAATCCTCCTATTCTGTAATAGTATCTCTTCTTTAAGTATTAATAGATTATTATTCAGCTTAATCTGCCCAAGTCTTTTGTTTAATTTAAAGTTTTTTATTTTATAATTAAGCAACAGGCATTTTTAGATCAAGATCTATAAGAGTTTCATCATCATTGAGTTAGATAATAAAATTGACTTAATTGATCTAGAATAAATTAGAATTAATAATACTTATTTATTTTTTTTGCTAATCTAAGTAATGATATCTGCGACAATTGAATTTTTATCTAATTAAACTTTAGTGGTGACACTCTTTTCTGGTTTTTAATCAAGAATAAGAACATCAATTAAGATCATATTTGGAAGAATTTTTTCAAAGATTTGCATGTCATTGGTTTACTATTTATAATTATTGACTTCAATAAGTGAGAAGATATTAGTTTGTGTGGATAAGATTTCTTTTTTTTTGTCAATAGCTCCAAAAGCCATTTCTGCTTTAAATTCAAAGTCATCATCAACAAATCTAATTTCATAAGCATCTACATTATTTGGATATCTAAGTAATTTTTAATCAAAATTATTATTTTTTTAATAGTCAGTTATGCTCATTCTGATAACTTAGAGAACAGTAGTAGTTTTGGAAACATTAATTTAAATATGTTGTTGAGTGTTAAAAAAGTAAATTTTGATTGGTTTTCCTTATGATGTAAGTACCATGCTAGTGCCTTTAGTATTTTTAATTGCAGCTCCTAACATCGATCTACGTTCTTTAGCTCCATCTAAAAATTGTAAGACTTCTTCAGAGACTTTATTGTATTCTGACATATCTGCAGTGGTTTAACTTTTCTATACAGGAATTTAGATAGGAGGTTGAACTTATTATTATTATTATCTTTTTGGTGGAGTAGATCTCCTTTCTATAGAATCTTAACTTGCTAGACTATTTGCTTCGCTGCTTATACTTTCTTTGAGTTTAGCTGATTAAACATTTTATTTTAGTAATTTTAGCATTTCATCTTCATTGAGATTAGTTTCAAAATCTTCTAATTTAATTTCAGAAATAGGTTCTAAATCATATACATATTTCTCAGGAGGTGTATATTAGTCATTGAAATCCTTTAAATAAATCATAATAAATACATCTTCAATGAGGCCAGCTTAAAAACTTTTACTATAAGCTATCAATTTCTCAATGTCCTTTCGATTGCTGATTTCCATTAATATTTAATATAAACAAGAGATAAATATTATTAAGGAAGAAATAATGAAGTTACTCATTTAATACTCAATCTTTATTCAATTTCATAGCTCGCTTCATCTATTATGATTAAATAATCTTCCAATTCAAAGGAATATTTGAATTATCAAATTATATAGACATTAATTAGAATTGAGACACAACTAGAAAAATTAAGAAAAGAAATTAAAACTCATCTCTATAAATGATAATCATTTCATTCTTATAACAATAAATAAATATTAACAGCATTCATGACTTACTTATTTATCCAAAAAATAAATTTAAACAAATTGTTACATGAGTTTCTCTACTCAAGTTGAAGTTAATCATATAATTATCTCAAAATAAAATATTCTTAATAAATTCAACAATCTCAATAATGATCCACAACATTCCAATTTGAATCAAAGAAGAAATTAATCTAAGTAATAATAAGGAATGTTTTAGTGATTTGAATTTTATAAAATATCCAATTAATCATATCTGTGATATTTTTTAAAATATTATGCATTTCTATCAGAGATCCTACTAATTAATTCACTCGTTTTTAAATATATAACCATAAAAAATATTAAGATTTATCAATAGTTATGTATAATAGACTAATTAAAAATCATAGACTCACTAATAAATCACATTAAGGATGTTTTTTGGATATAAACTTTATTTTGGTTTATTATTTTTTTTTTGGTGTTGTTTGAAAACTTATTTATTCAAAAATATTTGTATTATGGCAACTAATAATCCTAATTTACAATTGATGTGATTACCTTTATTACATCATTATATCAAATTTAAGATTAATATTTTAATTAAAGATATAAAATAATGCAATAAAATAAATTTTTAATTAAAATAATACATAGATATGTTATAAGAAAATAAATACAATAGAAATTTAATTAAATTATTGATTTTTTAATTATTTATAAATGTTATTTTTATTTATCATCACCATTCTATAATAATTACTAATATCTAAACAATGTTAGATATTCGATTAACAAATATTGCTTGGAAATTATTATACAAATAATGGTGCAACCTTGGCAATTATCTACTTCAAATCTCATGTATAATTATTTAATGAAAACAGGGATTATGTGATAAGTAAATTAAAATCAATTTGATCAAACTGAGATATGAAAGTGTTAATATTGATGGCATTTATTATTTGAATACAGCTACCATTGAATCTTCAATGTAGATCAAGTTTAATCATGATTACTATATAACATTAGAAGATATGTAATTATTGCTTAGATTGCCAAAAAAATATGGAAAAGAACCAATATCAATAGCTGAATTTGAAGGAAGCTTCTAACTGATAAATAATAAATCCATTTTAAATGTTCCAGCATTTGATATGATAAAAAGTATTAATGTTGAGTCAATACACCTTATATTAATAAATGGATGTGATATTGGTAATATTTTAAAAAATTTACAAAAAAAAATTGGCAAATGGACAATTTTAATAGGAAGATATGCTTGTAAGACTAGATTGTAACACTTGAAATATGATAAATATATTCAGATTCAAGAAAATTAATAAGTCACATTGATTCAGACAAAATAAAAACAGCAAAGCAATTATGTAAAAATAGATATATTTAATCTAAATGATAATTAATTTAAATATGATTACTATTTGAATGATGAATTAATTAAATAAGAATTAGTGATTAAAAATACTATAGAAAAAAATAACAGTGAAACTGATTGTTAGCCATATGGATAGAGAATAAGCTTAGGATATTATTACACAAATTATAATAATTCAAACGAATTAATTAATATTGCTTATAATACTTTAGTAATTAAAATTATAATGATATTAGTCTTATTGCCCTAGTGGGTTCTTACACATTTATGATAACAAAAGTGTCGATTAATGGGTCTCTCTATCAGAAATACGAACTTTAAATATGAGTCAGATTTATGAAGATACAAGTTACAATTTTACTTATGTGACTTATATTAATATTGCTTCTTTGAACAACTCTATTTTACCTTATTAAGGGTAAATTTATTACTATAAAATTTATGGTGATGCAAATTCGGAGAGTTTAGCGTATTAATTTAAAGTACCTTTGAAAGAATATGATAATTAAATACACAAAATGATCTTTTTTGGAGACATGGATTCTAATTGGACGGGTAATAAATCAAAAGAAACTTTTGATTGGTTTTAATCAATTTAAAGTAATTAAAGCGATTATGATGTTCTAATTTTTGAAGGAGATATGGCATACAATTTAGAATCTTTAGATTGTTAATAAGGAGATTGGTGGCTTAGAAACATGAGCACTTTTTCAGGTTATTATCCTTTATTGGCTACTCCAGGAAACCATGATTCTGGAAAAAATAATGAATATGATTTTTACAGAATATCGTTTTTATCTCCTGAATTAGATTTAAATACAAGAGATAATTTTTATAATTTTTACAGTGTAGATTTGGGATTAGTGCATTATATATTTTATAATCCAAAAAATATAGTTTATAATGAAAGCAATTAAACAGAAATTGATTATATGGTTAAGATAATGGAGAATGATCTATTATAGGCTACAAAGAATAGAGAATAAGTTCCTTGGATAATTGTAAATAGTCATTTTCCAATGTATTGCAGTAATGAAACTGATGCAATGTGTTCATATAACTTTATAGCACTTAAGCCATTTGCAGAATTGTTCAGTTAATATGGAGTTGCAATCTATATGTCTGCTCATCAGCATAATTATGAAAGAGATGCTCCATTTATAAATAATTAATCATAAATAAATACTGGACTTATAACAGATGGTCCTGAATAACATTTAATTATGAATTCAGCAGCTCCCGTTTATATTATTGAAGGATCTGCAGGTTAAGAATATTATACTCCTTTGGTGCCTTGTAATAAATCCTATATTATTAGATCCATAACAACCCTACACCATATATTAGACAGGATATAATGATGGCATAGGAATATTGTATGTTTATAATGAAACTCATTTGTATTTTGAATAGATAGATTTGATTGAAAAGAAAGTCGTAGATTATGTTTGGGTTGTTTAAATAAGAGGGATTAATGAAGAAAAGACATTCAATATTTTATTATGGATAATACTAGCATTAGCTTTAATATTGACCATTGGACTTGTAATTTATTATATAATGAGAAGATAAATGATAAAAGAGAAGTTGCTTAATTGAATATCATGAAATATATTAAATAAATATATCATTAATTACTAGATTTATTCCATATAAACATATTAAAATATGTTGATTTAAATATAATCTGATGAATTGAAAATTTTTCTACCTTAATAGTTAATATCTATCAGATTAAATAAATAATTTTTCTTACAAGCGTTTCTGTATGATGACACATTTTTAGAATTGCCAACTCTCAATCAATTAACTAAACTTATCTTTGATATTTGCAAATGTTTTTGCATAGTTTTTATACCTTCGATCATTCTATACACATATAAAAAAACTTATATTATTCAACAGCTTCTATTTCGATAAAATCACAAAGATCTTTAATAATATTGTTAAGTAAATTTAAAATCAAAGCAAAAAAAGGAAATTTTAATCTGTTCTTCAGAAAATTATCACCCTAAAATCAACTTTCATTTCTCAGGTTAAGAATCATGTCTTATAATAATAAATTTTACCTAATAAATATTTTGCAGAACTTAATACATATTAATTACGGCAAGGTTTGATTCAAGCTGTTTTAATAAGATGATTTTCATTAATATTAAATATCTAAAAAAAAATAGTAAAGGAAGAACCTTATTTTTTGAAAGATATAACAGAATCAATTTTGAATATAAAATGTTTTACCACTTTAAACTTTATTTTGATTGATGGTATTAAAAATCTCAATTATAAGGATTGCTAATTCTTTTTTAATTTCTAAGAAATATATTATTTATAAAATATCATTGGACAAACAATCAAGAGACAACCATAGTTAATGTATCGCCCAATATATTTTTTTTGACTCTCTTGCCTTGATGGATTTTAAAATATATTGAAATCCCAGTAATTAAAATTAACAAACCAAAGATTATCCACATAGAAATCTCGAAACCTTGACTTTTTGATGTTGATTGATAGCTAGAACGATCTAGCCATATAGAGTCAATAATTTTATTATTTGAAACAGTTACATGTTGAAAATGTAAATGAGTTGAATTTTTAATAGTAATAATACCCACACCATGATCAGGATTCTGAATTTCTATGAATGGTGCATCTGGATAAGTCTAATTTTATTCTCCATAATCTGTACCTGCAGCACCTTCGATAATCTACACAGGATATTTATACTATGAAATGACATCATCTATTTATTCATAATTTGCTGTAGCATTTTAATAATAAGGTTTATTTCTTTAGTATGTGTGTACATGTCCACTTAAATAAAGATCCACTTTGAATTCTACAAAAAGATCTTCAAATGCAGATAAATATTTAAAATTGTTTATGCATTGATCATTTTTAGGAACTGTACAATATATTGGATAATGAGTGTAAACAATAATCCAGGGAACTTTCGCTCTATTTTAATTAGCCAAAATTAAATCATTTCTCATCTATTCTACTATTAAAGGAGTGATATTATAAGGGTCATTTTTATAAACTATTTTTATTGGATTGAACTGTATAAAATGAACCATCCCTACATCAAAGCTAAAGAAATCATTAAGATAGTGTTCAGTGTTGTATTCTTTTAAATATAAAGTACCAAAATTAGCTCTAAAGAAATCAAAAAAAGTATTATTTCCCCAATCATGATTTCCAAATGCAGCCATGAAGGGATATCTACTTGTAAATGTTGAAATATTTCTGAGCCAATTATCTCCCTATTAACAATTCTTAGATTCTAAATCATATGCCATATCTCCTGTAAATAAAATAGTATCATATCGTTTGTCTTATTTTACCTCATTCTCTAGCCAATCAAATGTGTCCTTTGATTAAAATTATACCCAGTTTGAATCCATATCTCCAAAAACTAATATTTTTTATTCACTTTCTGACATTGGAACATCAAATTTATATGGGCCATATTAATTTGAGTTTACCTTAGAAATTATTGTGTAATTGTATGATGTGGAATCCTCGATATTGATATTACCAAAACCAATCTTAAATGTATGTATATAAGTCTCATAAGTAAAATTTGTAGTCAAATTCTTTTCATATATTTTTGTCATGTTTAATAATTGTGTTTCATAGTAAGTCATCGACGATATCATTAATTTTTCACTTGATAAGTTTTCTTACAACTCCAGTATGAATTACTCTTTGCATTCTTACTATAAATTTATAAGTTTTATATACTTTGGTGTTGAAAACTATCCTTATGACATCTTAAGTATTCCTCAAATAACTAAAGTAATGTCCTAAAAATAATCTAATTCCATATGGTTAACATTCTTATGAGTAAGTCAACCCCAATAGAAGGATTAGAATATTGAATACCATATTATATATTGATTTAAGGTATGATTAATAAATTTTTTAAATTCATGATTCTTAATATTATGACATGTATTTGATGTCATAAAATAAGAATTAATTTGCTATTTAATGGAATATTATGTTTATGCTAATTATTAATAAAAGTTATAGATTAATTCTTTATTTATTTAATGCTGAAATTATACAAGAAAATGTATGAGTAACTCTTTAGATGTAAATAATAATTTAAATAATCTAAAAAATAAATAAACAATTAAGAATCATTCTTGAGATTGTTGAAAAATTAGGGGTTCTTTTACTTCATCCTTAAAGTCCATAGTTTATTCTACACCAGCAACACCCATCATTTAACAGAACTCTTCAAAACTAATTTTGTTATCATGATTAGGATCGATTTCATAAATCATTTCATCTATTTTTTCATCTGATAATTATCTTCCATGTCTTGCTAATGCTTCCTTAATATCCTCCTTCATAATAAAATTGGCATCTTAAGTATCAAAATATTTAAAAACAGACCATAACTAAGATTATACACTAAAATTTACTTTTTCTCTAGTTAGGACTCTACGTTCATCAATACAAGCAGCTAGAAAATCACTATATTTGATGACTAGTGGTTTGGTAGATTTTGTAGTTGATGCACAATCATTATCATCTTTATCTTCTTCTAAAAATTCAAAACCTACAAGTTATATCAACTATTCTATTTCTTCATGACTTATTTGTGATCCCTAAATATATTAAATAATCAATACTTCTTCCATCAATGCTTCTTTTAATTCCTACACAGTGATGGTTCCTGAATTATCAACATCTATTTTTTAAAATACATATTTCAATCTCCCTAATTCTTTCTCATTCATTTAATTGACTAACACTTTCATTACTTCTTTCTTAAATTTAGCTCCTATTCTAAATGTTTTCAGCATCTAGTAAATTGATCTTTAATCATCAGATTAAGGTGATTTAATTAATATTGTAGCTGTTCTTCCCCTCTACAATTTAACTGGATTCTGAAATTTTCTTCGGAACCAAGAATGACGAAGACAATCCTTTGCACTTGGTCTTATGTTAGGATTCTTATTCAGCATCTTTTTTATCAAATCTTTTGCTTCATCACTAACATTATTCCAATGTCTCCTATCAAAAATCAACTACAATTAGATAACTAAACTTTACATTTTAATATTGTATATTTTCATATAGATCTTATCTATTCTTACCATAAAATGGTGGATAACCACATAGTAAATGAAAAAGTAAAATACCCAAACTCCAAACATCACATTTTTCATTGTATTTACCTTCAATCACTTCTGGTGCCAAATACAAAGGAGTACCTACAGCAGCTTTGAGTTATCTAATTAATTTAATTTGTCGATACTTAAGATTGCTAGAGTCAAATTTTATAGCCAATCCAAAATCTATTAATTTTGGTTCTGCATTTAAATCTTTTGTTGAAAATAATATATTCTCGGGTTTTATATCACGATGTATAATCCCCTATTCATGGATGTACATAATTGCTGAACAGATCTTAGTTTGCATACAATATTTACTTTAAATATTATTGTCTAAACTTGCCCTTCACTTAAGTTTTTTTAACTTTTTTGTATACGTTCCACCAATTCACCACCTTCGCAGTAATCCATTATTATATAAAAGTATAATTCATTTTAATAAACTTCATAAAATTTAATTATATTAGGATGATCTAATTTCTGTAGAACATATATTTCATTAGCAAGCATTGCCTCTCTTCCTCTTACCTTTCTCTTATCTATCATCTTTATTGAATATTGTTTAGAATTATTGTTTCTCATTTTTGCTACTAATACCTTACCAAAAGCACCAATCCCTAAAACTTTACCAAATGAATAAAGTTTATGAATATCGGCAGTAGAAGTGAATACAAGATCTTTATTTGTTGTTTGCATTGCCACTATCCTATTTAGCTTTTTTGGTTATAAACAACCCATAACTTTAATTTTTTATATTAAATATCAATATACATTATTAGTTTTTTTAAGGGATCTTTATGGAAATTAATTTACGCTTTTCTTCTACATTTTCACTTTTTTATTACTGTAACCTTGTTCTATGCCAATCCTTTAGATTATTTCAAAAAATTCTTAGTATGTTTTAGTTTAACTTTTCATTTATAATGTGGAAAAAATTCTCCTATTCTCAATAAAAATTAAAACAAAGATAATTAAGATAATTTTAATCTTTAAAATATTTTTATACTTTATATCATTAGATCTCAACAAAATAGACATTTATTAATTGAGTGTAAAATTCATCACATTAATCTTATTAAAAATATTACTTCAATAATTTTTTAATTGCAGAAAAGCCATATATAATATATTTGATATATCATTTATACTACTTTAATGGTGATAAGGTATTATTTAATTTTTGCTTTTCTATTGATTCCTTGTGTCTAGTTTCTTTCTTATACTTTAAAGTAAGTATCAAACACCAAATACTAAAACATATCAAGACTCCTACAAATACAATAGTTACTATTATGTATATCATTAAATACTTTTGATGGTAACTTGATAATATGTAGGTATGGGTTATATTACTTGTATATAATCTAATTACAAATATAATCTATCAGCAAAAAAAGCCCCATTTTAAGGGAATGGAGTGTTATCAATGATAATATACCTTTATGCATCCTATACTGTATATTGATCTGAAAATTCATAATTATTTAGACTTGTTTGACTAGAATTAAACAAGAAAAAGCATTCTGTTTCCCAAGAACTATTGTAATAAGCTTGTAAATAACAAGTATAGCCAGTTTCATCTAGAATGAAGACATCATACAAAGCAGAATCATTATAAAGTTTTGATATTGTAAAAGATCCATTATGTGCAATTTGTGACTTTTCTCGATAATCAGTTTGATTTAGTTCGATTACAAAGTAATCTTATCTATTGATTGAAATTCCTTTGGAATGTAAGATGTAAATGCCTTAAACTGAAAGTAAAAATAATGCGAATAATATAATCATTTATAAAATAATTAAATTAATTTTCTTTGTTATTATTTTTTAACAATAGGATTATTTTTTTGTAAATATATGCTGCTAATGATGTCAGCTTATGATCCAATTTTGATTGATCCTAATGTTTTGATAGGTTATAGATTTGATTTGCTAGATTGTTTACTCAATTTTTTTGAGTTATTATATACATTTTGTAATGTATGAAGTTTGATATTTGGATGAGATTTGGATTACATTTTCTATATTTATAATTATTGTGGTTAACAAACATCCCCATTTAAAATAGATTTTAGTTTTTTACTTGTTAATTCAGTCTATTTATTCAAGGGTTTAGAATATAATTTAGTTGTTGATAAACTTGATTATTAAGTATAGGATTTGATCTATTTAGGCATTTAATTTTATTATGTTTAAAATTTATTTAAAAGTGAAATCAAAGACTACTATTCTTCTTCTTATTTGTTCATAGTTAATTGCAATAATTGTGTAAATTGAACATCAACATGATCTCGAATAGGAGGTAGCAACATTTTTAATTTATATTTGATTTATGTGTAATGATACTCTCTAAATATTGAAAATGATACTTTCTTAATGAATTGTAAGTCTTAATCAATTTAAATAAAGGAAGCATAAATAGATTAGGTGTATCCAACCTATATTTGTAGTATTCTGTTAAATCTACTAATTTAGAGAAGATCTCATGGCTGATATAGTATTTCTTCAGGAACTCTTCGTTTTATATATCTTATGATTTCTCATAAAAATCTATAACCCATTTCTTATGAGAATGTTTAATGAGATCATCTATTGTCATTTCATCTTAAGGATTATATTTCAAATAAAGTGCCTTAATATTTTAAATTAGTACTGTTTATAATAGAGAGGGATAATGAATTGTGCCTTCTAATCTTTATTTTTCACAAAATAAACAATCTTTATTTTACATTAATTTATTAAATATTATATTAAATGAGACCAATTCCTTGGTTTGTTAGATTAGGCATTGATGTAACAATTTTCACAGTACCCATATTGTTTTTGGCAAGTATCGAAAATTTTTTAATTTATAAGATTATCCAAGATTGGGCACACATTTCCTCAATAATAGAAGAAGAAAATATAGAAGAAGAAGTATATTAAAGTTTTGAATTTACCATAGATTTCGATGAAATCTCATACAGAAATGATAGCACATTGTCAAGTGAAGAAGTGATAAGTTTTAGAAAGAAATTTGGATTTCAAGACCTTATTTGATAATGATCAAATATATATTAAAAAATAATAACAATCATAATTATTCCTCCTCATTAACTCCCCCATAATTCTCAATTAATTAAAATAAATCATATTTCAATTACTACTCATCTTCTAATGATGATTTTTCATATTACAAAAATCCCATTTTCTTAATACTATTTAATTCATTGTATAATTTTAGTAAAGTAAACTTATAGCTTTCATTACTAAAAATACAACTATGAAATGGTAACACATCTATTTAATCATATAATTAAGGCACTTAATAAATATAATCTAAAATTCTTATGTCAACTCCATATGACTTTAGATTTCTTTCATTTGGAAATGGTGAAATACCTCTTAAAAAATATGATTCTCCAAATGATTCCCTCTCAGAATTCAAATTTATGATTTCTTATGAAATATAAAACTTATCCAATGTCTTTATTTATTTATAATTTAGTATGTTATCCTCTGGTTTATCTTAAAGTGAGGGAATCGAAGCCAAAATATTAAATATATTATTTTAAGGTGCAGGTGTAATTCGTTTAATAAATTCATGCATGCTTACAAATTCTTAAGAACATTTATAAGGTGAGAGTATGTTGTTCATAAGGAACGAATACTATTAATTTATTTCCAATTTATTTGAATTAATTTACATTTCCTTCAATTCAAGAGGAACCAATATCGTTGAATTTTCCTAAAATCTTGATAAAGTTAATGATCTAGATTATTAATAAACATAATTTTTTACCTATTGATAATTCTATTTTTTGTGTTATTATATTGATCCAAAATAGAAATTACTAATTTTGGACTTTTACTATTTCCTTAAAGATCGTTCAATTAATCTATTACCTTTAATCCAATCTCCCCATAACAAGTTTCACAATCAACTGTTAATTCAAAACCTTCACACTAATCTGCTTTTTCCAATTGTGTTTAAATATTGTCTGAAAACTGTTCCAGTTACACAGAATCTACATTTGTTGTAAAAATGTCATTTTCATTCTCAAAGTTCTTTTTATAATTGACAATTTGTTTCGATTCTATCTTCATTTCATGTAAATATTTTTAAGTTAATTTTATAATTTATGGTTCATCTTCATCTTATTGATCAACAACTTACACATCATTGGTTTCTTATTTTAAAGAATTCATATTGATTCTATTTAATGATTTGCTTAAGTCTAAATCATTACCAAAGTATAAAGCATGTGGTTTATTGTTTTGATCATATTAATGCAAAATAGGATCTTCTTCTTAGAATTTATTTTGTAACTAACTTAATTACATTAATAAATACATCAAGATATTAGGATGTGACACCTAGATTGACAGCTCGATTACCAAGAAATAATGATAATATCATAACTTTATTTATTTTTTAATTTAATCAATATCATCTTATTATCTATCTTATCTCCTCACTTATTTGATACCTAAGATTTGATAAATTATTCTTCTGACTGTTTCTCCTCCAAAAGATCTTTTATTTAACTCACATTAATTAATATAATATTCATCTAAGAATTCTGGTGGCATAATAGTTCCTTTCCTTATTTAATTTTAAACAAATTAGGGATCATTTTCAACAATAGTTTTTAACAAAGCTCCACTAATAATTTAATTATTAGGAATATTTCCCATAGTTGGAATAGGTGATTTGATTTCACTTCCAACAGGGAAACGAGGTAACCATTCAACTTAAACTTGGATATGGCATAATTAGAAATTAAATAGTTCATGTTTTTTAAGACTAAAAATTAATGTTTATCCTAATCTATCTCTTTCTTATTCTAATTTAGATAAAGTGACACCTAAATTACTTGCTTTAATTAATCTATCTGCATCAACAAAAGGTAATACAACTTCTCCTAACCATGCAAATTTTTTGCCTTTTAAATCAACCACAAAATCAGTTGGATAAAAATCAGCTATTGGAGACTAACTTTCTAACATTAATTATTGATAAGGTCTTGGTAAAAACTAGGCAGATTGAGGAGGTAATACTGCTAATAATTATTAATATGGTTTAAAAGGAGTATTCTAAGAGAATTCATATATACATTAATCCAAATTTATCAGATCTTATGCATATGGTGCATAATGATAAGGATAAAACCAACCCCAATCTACACATCCTTAATAATAATATTTTAATGTCCAAGCCAATGCTTCCAAATAAGATATCTTAATACGATGTTAGAATTCACTAAATTATTGTGGTTTAATTCCAAATTTCTCTTAATAATATCTTTGTTTATAACTCACAGATTTCCATTTCTTTAATTCTTATGAAGATTTTGCTTATTATGCTTAATCTATTTCTTGTTGATTTATTTCTGTCAATTTATCTTTTAATGCAGATTTGAATTTTGATAAAACATCTTTTGGAGTATCTAATACACTAAATTCAGGTGGCACCTAAACTTTTAATTCTTTTGATTCTGCATTTCTTTCTCTTCTGTTTTTAATAATTTCCTTCTTTTTCTCTTAACCTTTAATAAGTTCATCTTCAATCAAACCAACATGAAATAAAAATTAATTTATTTATTATAGATTCAACTCTCCACAATTAGTTAAATAATCTCCTATTTATGAAAGGATTGTTTTATAAATAATGAGTAGACAATCAATACCTCCTTCAGTGATTTTTAAACAAGGTATATGAGGTAGAAAATCATTTCCGACTAAAAAACACATAAATACAAAATCATCAATGATTCTTTCTAAATCATAAAATTTAAGTGATGTTTATAAATCCTTTGTTTCATAATATAAAAATTCTCTTACAAGATTGAGTTATAATATTTAAAAATCAACTTAAATAACTTTATTCTTGTGTTGTTATTAAATCTAATTGTATTACTTAATTTCAGTATTTAAATCATCAATAACTTTTTCTCTCTTTGTACAATCAGTAAAGAAATGTCCTTTTTATTAACAGATTGAGCATTGTTTATCATCATTAGCCATTATAGTTTCTCTAATGACATAAAAATATGGTTCATGTGTACTAAGACCTAACATTATTAAGTCAGCATCAGCTCCATACAAGCAATGTCTTACAGTTTTATAATTGATTTATTTTCTTTAATCTCTAACAAATTAAAGAATCTTATGTTCTCCTTCTCCTGGAATACTAGAATCATTAAAAATGATTAGAATATTTTTAAATAAAGGGTTCTAATATATTAGATGTAATTTAGGTTACATTATTCATTCTATCATAAATATAATATTGCAATGCTATATTAAGTTTCTGCATAAACTCAGTTCCTGGAGTTATTTAATTACTATCAAAGTTTTTTTCAATATAAGTATTTAAAGTATCAGAATTCAAACCTTATGTTCTCCAATAATCACGTAAACGCTCCTTCTCTTTTTAAATTCTTACAGCTTCCTAGGCTGCTCTAAATCTACGACCTTAGAATAGAATTATATTTAAAACTTCTTTGTTAATTTAATTTGGCTCTAGGTGCTACACCATCAATAGCCATATAAAGTAATTCTTTTGGACGTACAATATCAACTAAACGATCTATGTAGTGAAATACATTCACAAACATGTCATCATATGTAACTGGTATAGGAATTCCACCTTAGTCAGGATGAGAACATGGATGAATAATACCATTCATATCCAAATATAGATTATCAATATCTGGATTATTTGATATTAAGGATTCATCTGAGTTTTCCAAGACCTCTAACAAAGCCTTTGGATTTCTAGCACATAGCCATCTAAAGAATGCAGGTACCCCCATTTTAATTAATTAAATTTCCAACACAAATATAATCTAAACATTGATGGCTGCATAAGTAGAATCATTAAAAATGCTAATGAGTCTTGGAACAGCAGGTATATTTGGTATCTTTTTGGTTAAAAATTGCTTTTTCACTGTTGAACCTGGACATTGTGCTATTAAATTTAGCAAATTCTTTGGTCTCTAAGAAGAAAAGTATAAAGAAGGATGGCATTTCAGAATTCCCTACTTTGAGACACCAATAGATTATAATATCTAAACAAGACCAAGATAAATCAAAGCTAATACAGCTAATAGAGGTATCCTATTAAAATATTCCATTAGATATGCAAAATGTTCTATTGACTCTTAGAGTACTTCATAGACCATATAGTGATGATCTTCCAACTATTTATAGAACTCTAGGAATTGATTATGATGAAAAAGTCTTACCATCAATTGTTAATGAAACTATGAGATCTGTTGTAGCTTAATATACTGCCTCTTAATTAATGAGTTAAAGAGATCAAGTTTCATTCAAAATTAGATAAGCCTTAGATTAAAGAGCTGCTTAATTCAAAATTGCTATTGATGATGTATCAATTACAGAACTAACATTCGGAAAAGAATATTTGGAAGCAGTAGAAGCTAAATAAGTTGCTTAATAAGAAGCAGAAAGAGCTAAATTTGTTGTTGAATAAGCAAGAGAAGCTAAAAAGAGTATTGTTATTAAAGCTTTGGGAGAAGCTAAATCAATTGAATTAGTTGGCAAATCTGCCTTAACTAACCCAGGTAATTTATTATTTATTAATCACTTTTAGCATTCTTGGATGTTAGAAGAATTGAATATGCTAGAGAAATATCTGCTATTCTTGCTGAATCTAGAAATCATATCATGTTGCCATCAGATATCCTTAAAATGGATGCTACTGCACATAAATGAGTTTTTATTAAATTATTTTAAATTCAATTGTTAAATATCAATTCTTTATTTTAACTATCTACTCACATTTTCCATATAACCATTCCTTTCTCTTCTAAATTTGTTCCTCTCCATGTAAAATTACTCTTAATTTTTATTTCTCAAATTAGTTTTCCTCAACAAGATAAGCTTTCAAACATTCATCTGCCTCCTTAGTCCATAACAAATTTTCTTAATGATTCAAATATACATCTAAAAGTGTATTCAAATCTCCAGAACATTAATACATTCTTTAACATAATTCTTAATATGATATTCTTAAGGTCTCAGATAGTTTTTTTAATGTAAATTTAAGTTCCTCACATTCTTGTCTCTATTCTGCATCTAATACTACTACTTAATCCTATCTAAATGCAGTCGTTTTTCTATTCGAAATTTCATATTTTGAACTATAAACTATCTATATTATACATACTTTGCAGATAATTAAAATTTACTATTTAATTTTACTTTCTTTTGTGATTCAGGCTCAACCTAATTTTATTATTATTATTTTTATTATTATTATTGTTAGGAATTTTATAATTCATTTATTCCAGATCCAAATGCAACTTACTTTGTTATTTATTTTATTGGTGTTTAAATTGGAGTTTTAATTGGAGATTCATTTTACTTTATTGGCTCTATATCTGATAATCTCTGAATTCCATTATCAAGACCAAAAATCAAATATCCTTAAGCACCAAATTATTATAGAAAAGCAAATATTGTTTATAAATCTTCTTGATTTATATTTTTCAAATATTCTTGATATCTAACCTTAATTCAATAATTACCTCTTCCTCAATATTGATTTAGATCTTTTAAGAATAAATGATATTCTTTAAAAATGCTATGGTTCAATCTAATTGACCTTAGAAAGTTCTAAAATTAACTTCAAATCTTCATAGATTGTAAACCTATCACTATCTTGCTTTGTATATTAATTTAAGTTTTCGACTTCAAATTTGAAAATGGCTTTTTAGAATGCTTCAAAAAAAGTTATCCCAGATTCATCAGATAAATGTTGGCCCTGTTTTTTATTTTTCATTTTTAATAATTTGGAGGTTAATTTTATATTAATAAACTTTATAACTCTATACTGAATTTATTTCTCATCCTTTCTTCATCTACTGTTAAAGAACAAGAATATCTTGACAAAAATAAAGTTGAAGTTTGAAGAATGATACAAATAAGATCATTATTATTATTAAATCCAACCTTCTGGTATAATTTAAAAATTGTCATCCTCTATTGAACTCATCAATTTGCCTTCCAACCAAGATCCTATTTTTTTCTTACCATCTTTTCCTATCATTAATCCTTTGCCATGCTATTTTCCACTAAGCCATTGACCTTAGAACTACTTTCCATCAGGCCAATAAAATACGCCAAAACCACATTTTTTATCATACTAATACTCCCCATCATAACATTTTCCATCTTTCCAAATATATTTTCCTCGACCGTGCATTTAATTTTTTACCCAACTTCCAGAATAAGACTGCAATATTTACGATACCATACCCTTCCATCAGGCCATTCGTATTTTCCTATGCCATGTATCATATTATCCTTCCATTCTCCATTATAAACACATCCTTAATGCCACTTATAACAACCCTTCCCATGTTTTCTACCTCTTTAGAATTCTCCTTCATAAACTGATCCATCAGGCCAAGTTTCTATACCATAACCATCTGGTTTATTGGACTTAAATTGCCCTTCATATATTGGACCTTTCAAGTAATTAAAAGTTCCATTCCCTTCCATCATATTCTCAACAAAATCACCTTAATAATAGTCTCCATTTTCTAACCATAACTTTCCAAATCCATTTGCTTTTCCATTTTATATACTTCCAAAATATCTGGATTTGTCATCGAATATCAATTATTAATCTTTTTACTCCACAATATATTCCTCTTCCTTTACTTTCGAGATTAATTTTTAATATTATAGAATATCTGCTTCCATCGTTTTACATTAATATGTAGAAGGGGGACTTTCTTTACTAAAATAAAGTAATACTAGCATCAAATTCTTAACTGTCATCTAGGTCTTCTTCTGCAAATTAATCTTTTTGTTCCATACCATCATAACCACCAGCAATTTCTTATTTATTCTAACAAGATGCACAACTCTAGCCCATCTTTTTATATTAATTTATATTTATTGGTTAAACCTAGTGTCGAATAATTAATTTTTTTATTATTTAGGTAAATTATACTGTTTTTAAACATCTCAATTTCTAATAAAGCTTCACCTAATTTACTTCAAATAGATTAATAACTTCAAATAAATACAATAAACTTATTAATTTTATATATTCTATTTTTATTTTAAATATTTTGCACATTAAATAGACTCAATAATCAAAGATTCTAAGCTATTTCTCCTGTTTATATTATTTAATTACTATCAAATATATAATATTTTATTTTGCTTTTACTCTCCATTATCGAAATACAACTAGTCGACATATTCTTAGAATTCTTATTTTGAACATAATTATATAATTCTTAATCATAAAATAATGGAGGAATCAAAAATATATTATTTTCCAATAATTAACCAATTATTTTTTCTGAAATTAGAAACGAAAAATTTTGAGATAATTTTATTGTATTTTATGGATATTACATTAAACAAAGTACTATCACAATTGCATTAAATTCTCTTAACAAATTTATAAGTTCTTCTAAAACATACTCAACTTCACGATCAAATTGTAAAATTTTTTCCCCAATTGTTCGTGAAGTTCTTCTTTTATTGTCTTTTTATCTTTAATGAATAGAATCAATTATAATAAGCCTTATTTTCCTATTCTTTTTTAAAATATATCTAGCTGAATTCAGCTAAATTACAATATCTTCAATTGAATAACAATTACCAACAAAAATATGTTCTGGTATATTAAAATTGTGTTAGGAATCAATATATAATATATCTTACTTTGGGATATCATCATTTGAGTAAAATAAATTTATAAGGTAATTTAAAAATAAATTTTTTTCTAAAGGAGTGCAGTAATTAATGTAGTAAATTTCATTTTAATTAATTATTCGACTACCAAAATACTAAATTAGCTTTTCATCTTCCAAAGAAAATCGTTATAATGAAAAGAGTAAATCTCCCAGAGTTCCTGAAGGTTCTATTATTTATTGCATTAAAGTTTGAATTAATTTATTTTCTTAAATTTAATATTATAAATAGAATAATAATTAGACTGATTTATTGCTTATTAATACCTATCCTCTTATATCTTTTTATTTAACTACAATCATTCATTTATTTTAAGATAGGATTATTTTTCTCTTTCATCAATTAAACCAAATCTATATTATATAATAGCATATAAGTAAAATTTGATACAAATATAAGACAGTCTTGCAGAATAATTTTTATCACCCATAGTTATTGCATTAAACTCTAAATTAAAGCACACAATCATTTATTTCATATTTATTTAGATTTTGCTAATAAAAAAATATTAACCACCACTAGGTTTTAGTTTAGAAAATTTCATTAATTAGAAATTTCTAATTAATAAGTTAAACATAAAATTTAATGAAAAAGTTTTAATATTATTTTAACAAGGCAAGACAATTAGAATTAATTTTAGATTTAAAATATAGAGTTTGTTAATTAATCAAATTAATAAATTTATCAAGAAACAGAGATATTAATAAATCTCTTTTTTGCTTTCATCATTTTATTTTTTTTATAATTAGAAGACATTTGACCTAAAATATTTTAAAAAGATATTCAATTGATGATACATCATCAATAAATATATTAAAGGATGTAAATTAATTTAATAATTCTTTAAGATAATAAATTTGATTCATAATATATCATTTTTAGAGCGTAACCATCTCCATTCTCCATTCGATTATTAAGAATTATAAAAATACCATCTTCCTTTAAATCCTTCAGTAATTTAATTGGCAAATCCTTCATAAATTAAAATAGCATATTCACCAAATTATTATGATCGTATCCTATCTTTATAAGTCTTAATCATAAAAATCTTCCATAAACTATTAATTTATTTAATGTGACCATTATAGATTGAATCTCCTAATGAATCATGAGCTTATAAATTAATATCGATGTAATTTTTATTTAGTTCCTAATTATAATTAATTTCAATTTTTTTATCTAAAATTTTTATATTATTCCACGCTTTTTGAAAATAACTCATATTCCAATTGCAATTTCCCAAAATTTCTAATCCATATAAAAGTTCATCTCTAGTAGAAGTATTCTCCTTTTACAAAAAATTCTAAAGCAAACTTTATTTTGTTTTTGTAATTTTATAGCAATCACACCTTAAATAACCTGTTCTATAACAATAAACTAAAACAATTATAACAACAATTGTTGAGAAAATAACTGTAACAGGAATCCAACAATCATCTCCACAATTTGCATCACCTCCAGAGTCAAAGTTATAATATCCAGAATCTCCACTTCCACCTCCACCTCCACCTCCACCACCACCACCACCACCAGATTGCTGGTAAGCTTTCATTATATTTAAAGCAAAAATAACTAAAAGTTTCATTTTAATTAATAATTAGATAAATGATTAAACCAAACTAACGTTTATATAAAAAATATATATTGATCAAAACATTCTATTTATTTTGCTTATATAAAATTCAATCATTATCTATCATATCTCATGATTACAATTTTTTTACTATATTTAATCATGAAAATTAGTAAAAATTTAAATAATAAACAAATATAAGTTTATCAATTTAAAAAGATTCGTTGATCAATTAAATTTCTTATTATATTTTATTTCTATTTTAATTCACTAGACCTAAGTTATTAACAATTTAATTTATTTGTAAAGTATTTATTATTTATTCAATTGAAAAAATAATGATATCAAAAATAAAAAATCATTAATCTATTTATGATATTCAATAAAAATACATCATCTCTTTTAAATTTTATTAATTTCAGTTCAAGATATTATAAGATGGAATTATCTGTGAAAATAGTAAATTATGATCAATTTTTAGACAACATAAAAAATTTATTTATTAAATATAAGTCTTAATAATATTAGATGAGAGATCAATTTTTATGGTTAGATAACAATTTCAAATTTAAAAAATTGATTTATTAAGAATTTATTAAAAGTTGTTAATATCAAATTGAAGAAATATTTTAATTGTTAAAAAGCTCTTTTAAAAGACTATTTAAAAGTTATATAGATGAATTCTGTAGAAACTACAATAAACAATTTACCATTTAAATCTAGTCAAAAGTAAAAAAACTTCTATTATAAAAAACCACTAAATATGATATTTAAAATCAAAATATATTATAAAAATTTTTTGCAAAATAAATAAAAAAATTTTTAACAATTTTTAATAATAAGATAAGATAAGATAAAATATTTAGTTACTTCTATTTTTATAAGCTTTTTATAGTATTTAATCCTGATATTAAATTCTGAATATACATAATTGCATACAAATATCTTACTTTAAGGTAAAATTATTAAAAATTATATAATAATGATGAGCTTAAAAATTTAAGTTAAAATTTTAAAAATTATTTTAAATCATGATTATTATTATTCTTATTATTATTATGATTAGGATTTCTGTTATTGCGATTATAATTATGAGTGTTGAGATATCATTTTTTTATACTGAATGTAAGTTCGAAATATTCCATATAGATCATCGTATGAAGGTGTATCAAACATTTCTGGTTACATCATATTCAAAGCAAGATCAACAACTTTCTTATTTTAAAATAAAACTAAAGTTTACTTATTTTTAATCTTTTTCAGTCACATAAGTTTAAATAAATTGTTGACATTTTCTTTTTTTTGATGATAGAAAATCTTCCATTGCTTTTATTAGTGCTGAACTCATGATAATTGAATTAATTACCTATCAATAATGTATGTTCTCTTTTTTGGATTACTAAAATGTGCTCCTAAAGAATGAAGAATTTCTTAGGCATATTTATTAAGTATCCTCCATAATCTATCCTTATAAGCTTTTTCTTTTTATTTTAAATTTCTAAATACTCTTTTAACATAATTTACTAGAATATAATAATAAAATACCTTTATTTGTTAACTCTTAATGTTTTTGAATAAAATGACAGTATTAATGAGTAACATTCAAAAAATATCTTAATACTTTAGACAATTCAGTTTTTAATCTTTTTTTATTATGAAATGCAAACATACACATTGCCATACATAATTTAAATAAATTTCTTTAATCAACAGTTTATCCACTTTCTTTTATTTTAATCATTGTTGTTGTTTTATATTTCCAAACAATTAGTCTTCCTTTTGCAAGATATTTACTTCTTTTTTTTGCTTCCTAGATAGGATATCAACTAAAATACATCTAACATAGCTTTCATATTTTCAGCTAAATGTATAAGTAAAAATACATCAAACCAACTGATTTAAAACTTTGTTAAAGCTTATCTGATTTTTTATTTGAGTTTTTATTAGTTTCTAATTTCTTTTAAAGTTTCATTAGCTTAATATTTAGATAATAAATCCATTTTTTTATCTTCACACAATTCTTTTTTTTTATTCATTGCATTTTTAATTCTTATATCTAATTAATCTTATGATTATATTAATTTTTCTTTTCTTGCTTCTCTAGAGTATTATCTTGTATCAAGATTATTGTTTATTTTATCTGTTTCATAACTCATATCAAATTTTTATTGTTGCCACCAATGTTTATATTTATCATAATTTGGTTTTTCTCTTTTTGGTTTTTATTTTTTGATAAATTTATTACCATATAAAAATGATATAGAAATTTCGCAATCTTCTTCAGAATATATTGCTATATAAAGAAATTTATCTAAAAATTTATCATTATGTTTTTTATCTTAATATTTAAAATATTTAGATTATACAACAGCTTCACAATTGAATTTTGTTGGAAATGAAGCAGTTGTAGATATGTACATTCTATAATTAAGCAATCTTGATTAATCACATCTAACATAAACTTATATTGGTGATTCCTAGCCTTAAATTTTGATTGAAAAGTAATGAAACCTAAATCTATTAATTTAGATCCAATTATTGCTCTCTTATTTAAGTTCAAATATTCTTAAATTGGATTAATCAGGAAATGTATCATTATTTTATAATTTCTTTTGTTCTTCTACTGGAAAGAGTTTTTATAAATCAATGTTTTCTAATGGTTCTGATTATTATATAATTTCATAATTATTTGAAAATGTTTGCATCATTTATACTATTGAAGTTCTTTTATTTAAGAAATTTTCATTTAAATCAAATAATCTTGCTGATCTTAATTAAGAAGTTGGAGATTTCACTAACTTTTTCAAATGCATTGATGAAGATTTCAACGATTAAAAAGAAGTGAATCCAGATGTTTCTCTATTTGTAGGTGATTCTATCTTTAGTTCTATACCTTAAGATAATGTATGTCTATGTGTAGTTTAGATAGAACTAAGAAAGCTATTTTGTTTTGAATTACGCAAAGTTATTTTAGTATTCATTAATTAATTTAATCATTTTTTATTTGGTGTTTTCTCTCTACTTGAAAATTAACTCTAAGTTCCATTTACAAAAAGATTTCGAGTACTTATAGGTAGAACATCATCTAATACAGATACATATCTTTTTCTAAATGTTTTTTATTTTACTGATTTTTCATTATTCACATAATAATTGCACTTTTGCAATTATAAATTGAATTTTTTGATCAATTACAATTAACTAATTGGTTTTGTTTCATTTTAATTATATTAACTAAGTCTTCTTGCAGTATGAATATTTTTTGATATCTATTAATCTCTTTTCTCTTTATTTTATTCAATGATTGAAACTTTCATTTTTATTTGATTTGGAAACATTAGATTAGTTAATAAAGTTCTACCTTCAACAGGTTTTCCTAAAATTTTATTAGGAGCAAGACATTAAATATTAGTATTTATTTCACCAACACTTCTATATGAATTTAATTATTTTATTGAGTTTGTATTAGTAATAGCTTTTGTTGATGTCGAAAAAAAATTGTATTACAGTGATGAAGATTTTATCTTTGTTTCTCTATAAATTAGATCCTATAACTAAAAAGCTAACTCAAATGAAGAAGTCTATACGCATTAATTTTATTACATTATATAATAAAATTGAATATTATTTACTGAAAACAAACTATTATTCAATTTCATGAAATCAACTTTTCATTTCGTTATAGTATACTTATATATAGATATTTAATCATTTATTGTTAAAGGAAAATGAAGTGAATATATTAAGACTCAATTATTTTATTAGTTTTCTTCTTAATCCTTCGATATAATATCTTCATTTAATTCTAATTCCCAACCAGTTATTTATAATATCTTTAAAATAACTTTTTTGTATTCTTTTTTATGTCTATTTTATTCACATAAAATTTTTGCTCCATAAAACTCAATTGCTTAAAAAAATTCTTAATTCCTAATTGTTTCACATAAAAATAGCATCATTTCGAAGTTTGCCTATAATAATTTAAATATTTTTTACATATTTTTCATTAATGCTTATAATTCTTAATAAATTTTCTTCAAAAGGAATATCTGGCTATTGTAAATAGTTAATAATCTATTATTTTTCTTTCTGATTGTTTAAAAGATACATTTTAATGTATTATAAAATTACATAGTCTTAATGAAGTTAAAAAGCATTAAATAGTAAAAATATTGGCTAAAAATATTGATAGAAAGAATACTTAACAAATCAGAATTTCATGTTTATGCTTTATTAACTTAAAAAGAATTTCTGTTAAAATAGGCACTAATTGTGAACTAATTAATTTCTTATCTAAAAGTGCTTCTTCACAAAAATAAAATATTCTTGATATTTAATAAGATGATGGCATTCTATCAAGATATTCAACTATCTAGTTCAAGTAATTGAATGTTAAATTTTTTTAAGTCTTAAATTTTGTTAGTCTTATTATTTCTTCTTCTTTTTAATCACTTTCTGAATCAATCTCTTCTATTCTTCTTATTGTAATTTTAGAATCAAATGAGATGATTGAGCTTTTGGAATTCTATTAATTTTAAGTTCTTTTTTCTTCAAAAACTTTTCTTTAATCATTTTACCTAAGTATTTCTCTTAATTAATCTCTCTTATTTTATATTAGCTAGTGAAGAGATTATTGTGTTTTATTCATCTGAATTCTTAAATGATTATTTCAATTATTTATTTTAAGTATAAAATTGAAATTTTTATAGCAATTTTTCGATATTAAGCATAAATTCTAAACATTTTCTTTAATAAATATAAGAAAGTATAAATAAATTATTTTTTTAACAGTTTAGATGTTATTCTAATCATATATATATACTGAAGGAATAAGTTTTTATAGGGTTTTACTTTTTGTGCTTTGATTTAAAAAAAAATTTTGTAAATTTTTATTTTAATTAATTTTGAAAAACAAATTGTCGACAATTTCATTAAATTAATTTTAAAATAAAATATTGCCTTAACTTCTGTATATTATTTATAAAATCCTAAAATAAAATATTATGGTAGGAAGAAAAAAGAAATGATCAAAAGTGATTTAAACATGTTATAAATATATCATTGACTTGTTCCATGTATATCTTATTAATAAACCTTAACCAACAGTTCTTGTTTCAGATTCTCTAGCGTATTTTCTAGATTTTTGATCAACACCTTGAATTTTTAGACATATTAAATTTTATTAAAAGAAATATCTAAATGAACTTAGGTTTCAAGATTTTGAATCTCATCTAAAATGATATTTAAGACTTTTTAGGTTTTGTGATTTTTTTTAAGTTTTTTATGAATATTTTTTTAAATCTTTAACTTTTTTTCGAAAGTTATCATTTCTTATTTAGATTTGCTTTTTGATTAAAATTTATCAGGCTAAACCTAAAGGGAAGAATTGAATCTTGTATTTTCAATTGAGAAAGTTGTTTTACATGAAAAACCTACTGATGGTAATAATATTTAATTATTATATCCATCCTATGTTTAATTGTTTGATTCCTCCTCTTCTTATAGACATCTATTCATTTATAATTATTATTATTATAATATCTTAATAAATTTTTTAATTTATGAATAAAAAATGAATATTTCATTTCGTCATTTACTTGCAATTTTTATTATTTTCACATTATATTCCTTTAATTATATAATTATTAATAACTATCAATCAAATTAATTTAAAACATCTCTTTCAAATTCTTTTTTTTAATATTTCGAAATTCACTATTTCTTCTTTCCAAATTTATCTAAATTAAATATGTGGTTTATATAAAACAAAAATAAAATTTATTCTAATAAGTTTTATCCGTACAATAATATTCAAATGAATAATTTCCAAGATTCTATTCTAAACAATTTTTTTCTTATTAAATATTTAATATCTAATTAAATTTTATAATATAACATATTTTTCTTGAACATAATTTACAATTTTCTTATATTAAATTATATTGAATTCTTTTAGATTACTCCATAATGCTTAATTGCNTATATTATTTATAAAATCCTAAAATAAAATATTATGGTAGGAAGAAAAAAGAAATGATCAAAAGTGATTTAAACATGTTATAAATATATCATTGACTTGTTCCATGTATATCTTATTAATAAACCTTAACCAACAGTTCTTGTTTCAGATTCTCTAGCGTATTTTCTAGATTTTTGATCAACACCTTGAATTTTTAGACATATTAAATTTTATTAAAAGAAATATCTAAATGAACTTAGGTTTCAAGATTTTGAATCTCATCTAAAATGATATTTAAGACTTTTTAGGTTTTGTGATTTTTTTTAAGTTTTTTATGAATATTTTTTTAAATCTTTAACTTTTTTTCGAAAGTTATCATTTCTTATTTAGATTTGCTTTTTGATTAAAATTTATCAGGCTAAACCTAAAGGGAAGAATTGAATCTTGTATTTTCAATTGAGAAAGTTGTTTTACATGAAAAACCTACTGATGGTAATAATATTTAATTATTATATCCATCCTATGTTTAATTGTTTGATTCCTCCTCTTCTTATAGACATCTATTCATTTATAATTATTATTATTATAATATCTTAATAAATTTTTTAATTTATGAATAAAAAATGAATATTTCATTTCGTCATTTACTTGCAATTTTTATTATTTTCACATTATATTCCTTTAATTATATAATTATTAATAACTATCAATCAAATTAATTTAAAACATCTCTTTCAAATTCTTTTTTTTAATATTTCGAAATTCACTATTTCTTCTTTCCAAATTTATCTAAATTAAATATGTGGTTTATATAAAACAAAAATAAAATTTATTCTAATAAGTTTTATCCGTACAATAATATTCAAATGAATAATTTCCAAGATTCTATTCTAAACAATTTTTTTCTTATTAAATATTTAATATCTAATTAAATTTTATAATATAACATATTTTTCTTGAACATAATTTACAATTTTCTTATATTAAATTATATTGAATTCTTTTAGATTACTCCATAATGCTTAATTGCTTTTTTTAAGGTAATAATTGTATTTCTGCTAATACAAAAAGTTATATAAGATCTGATAAGCCTCGATCTTTGTTTATTCCAATGATGTAATTGCATTTATTATTGAGGTAGTGCTTTTTTAATTTTTTTATAACAGGAAGATTATTCTTTCCTCCTGTTAAATTAATAACTATTATTTTGATTTTAGAATAATTTCTATAATAGGATAATGATTTTCTATAAACTTTTGAATATTAGACTTACATCAAATATGAAGCGTAGAAGACTGAGTTATTCTTAAATATTTGAAGGCATTTTTTTAAGAGCTTAAAGAGTCAGACATTTTATATTTAACAATCTAGTTGCTATATAAAATCATAAAATAACATTTTATAAACTATTAACTATATATTCTAATTTATCAAAAAATTATGCTATTTAATTCTGGATTATAACCCTGCTTCATATATTAATCGATCTGTGAATTCTAACTTAAATTCTAGTTTAAAATATTGAGTTAAAAATCTTGATTTAAATTTGAACGTTCATAAACAATAACTGTTTTAATAATTGCAAATTGCATTTTCAAATAATTTTTCTTTAAAGTATTTTAATTATTTACTTAAATTGTAATTCTATTGAATATATATTGACTTACAATTAATTTTTAGATATTTGAAACTTTAGGACACGGATCAATCTTATATTTTTCTTACTAATATTTGATTTTTAATTATGAACTGTTTAAGTTTTTTTCACAAATAAAAAGAGAAAAAATAAATAAAAATTTAATTGAGACCTTTAAAAAACAATCGAATAGATAATTATAAAAAAAGACCAATTTTTCGGTTAAGACAATGCTAGAGATAATTATTAATATGATATTAAAAATAAGTAAAAGATGCAAATAGTCAAAATAATTTGAACTATATATGTAATTAAAATGATAAAATAAATATTTGGTGTAATAATAAAATACATATTTTGTACGATAATAAAACATTTATTATATTAAAATGGCAGAGTAATAATAGATGAAAAAAAAAAAAATAATAGGGAGTTATATAATAGGTAATTGAAGTTTAATGAATTGATAGGAAAAACATTAGGATTTGGGACATTTGGAAAAGTAAAAATGGGGATTCATGAATAATCATAAGAGAAAGTGGCTATAAAAATATTAGAGAAGGATAGAATAATAGAGACAGCTGATGTTGAGAGAGTTTAAAGAGAGATTCATATTTTAAAGTTAGTAAGACATCCCCATATAATATAATTATATGAGGTAATTGAATATAATAGTTAGATAATTGAAACACCAAAACATATATTTTTAGTAATGGAAATGATAAGTGGTGGAGAATTATTTGATTATATAGTTAAGAATACAAAGTAATAGATTGAATTAATTAGATTGGAAGAAGTTGAGGCATGTAAGTTATTTTAGGAATTGATTGCTGGTATAGAATATTTGCATAAACTACGAGTGGTGCATAGAGATTTAAAACCAGAGAATTTATTGTTAGATAATAATAAGAATTTGAAAATTGTTGACTTTGGATTATCCAACACTTATAAATCAGAAGAATTATTAAAAACTGCATGCGGAAGTCCTTGTTATGCAGCTCCAGAGGTATAATAGATTCTTTTTATATAGATGATTGAAGGATAAAAATATTAAGGAGTTAAAGTCGATTTATGGAGTTCTGGAGTTATATTATTTGCTTGTTTATGTGGGTATTTACCATTTGAAGATTAAAATACTTCTGCCCTTTATAAAAAGATTTTAAGTGGATCATATTAATTACCTTCTCATATATCAAAGGAAGCGTAATCCATGATCTAAGGAATTTTAACTATCAAACCAGATAAACGATTTACTATTAATGATATTAGAAATCATCCATGGTTTAAAATCTATACAAGAAATTATGAAATACCACCTGGAATTGTTGTCGGTTATAATAGAATTCCTATTGATTAAGAAATACTCAAATAATTAAAATCATATGGCATAGATATTGACCATGCTTAAAAATGTTTAGATGCTAATAAACATAATGAAATTACAACATTTTATCATCTACTTCTTAAAAGACATCTAACAAATGGAGGAAGATCTACTGCTGATCTAAATTCAGAATCTTTTGATATTACTCTTCTAAAACCTAAACCAACACCTTAAAAAGGTATTATTTCTTTTTTATCTTTAGCACCTATTAGTTCATTAATTAATAATGAAGTTATTAGATAATAAATTAGAGATGATATTATTAAATAAAGATCTTATTCTACTGATAAAGATAGAGGAAGAATTAATAAAACAACCAATCAAAATAAAATACTTGCAGATAATGATACAAGTGTAAATAGAATTGGAAATACTAATGGATAAGCTTATAGTGTATAACCTAGATAAAAAGATGATAATTTTTTTGAATAATCTCCTATTATCAGAAATTAAAAACTTCCCTATTCTAATATGTTATGCCAAAAATATGGAGTCAAAATTAAAAATAACAATGGGACTTCTATTGACTATCAAAATAAAGAAGAAATCAAAAAAGCTAGTTCCAGAAATAAAAGAGAATTGGATATTGTTAATCCCTATAGAAATTCTAATAGAGATTAATAATTCAATAGAATGCTACAAAGTGGAGGCAGATCATAAAATCAAAAAAAAGATAGAAATTATATTACTAATTAAAATAATCAATCCTTTGATGTACCTTTAAACTTAAATCCATCAACTAAATAAAAGTCAGTAAATTAGTAAAGATCAGGCCCTTTTTATCATGAATGACGTTTAAGTTTTAGATTAATTTTTCGAATATATCATTATAAATTTTCATTCAATAACTTTATTCAATTTTTATTCTTTTAATCATAAAAAATCTTTTATAATACAAGATAACATTGTTAATTGTATAACTTAATCATAATTATTGATTTAATCTTGAGCAAAAACAATCTTTATAAACAAGAATTTTAATTATACTTTAAATAAAAAATACTCCAACAAAATTAAGAAAAATTTACAGCACAATATATAAGGATGAATTGTTAATATAAATCATGCGGTGGCAACTATTGGTCCAATAATGACGGCTAAAATTATAACACCAATTAAGATGATACAACACATTTTCTAAAAAGAATTTTATGTATAAATACCTTTCTAGCTGCTTGATGATCATCCTTAGCATCCCCAAGGCTTTTTTCTGCCTTACCAACATAAGTTTTGGCTGATCCAAGACTAATTTCGATATTATCGATTTGCTCACCTTGAGCATGAACCAAGATTGCTAAATCTACGAATAGTTAATATACTTATTAAACAGACTAATAAATAATAAAATTAATTACTTTTTCCAATTACTAAATATCTTTATATTTTTCTTAGATATCTGAGACTGCGTTAGTAATACTAACAGATGGAGCTTCTCCATAGAGTTTTCCTTATAACAGTTAAGTTGCTTTCTAAGAAGAGATTTGATAAAAATATCATACTTATGGATCATTGCATATTTCATCTAAAAACTCTTCAGTTGCATTTTCATCTAAAATCTTTGTTTACCTTCTAATTTTCTCTCTCACACAAGTCTTATATTTTATTGAAATTTAAGAAGAAGCATGTAAAACTTCTTAAACTTTGCTTGTTAATGCATTTCTCTAATTAATTTTCATTTAGGTTTCAGGTTGATCCTCTTATAATGCGAAATTGGTTACTTTCTCATCTCTTTCACTCTTTTCAACATCATCTTTGATATCTTTCATAGCTTCTTTTAATTAGTTACTAAATTATTAGTTTTGCACCATAATTTATTCTAATTCTCTTGATAATTCTAATAAATTTTTAGAAGCAAAGAGTACCTTTTTCAACATATGAAGTGGTTGCTCTAGCATATTTCTCTGACATTTCCTACATTCTTAAATTATTTTCTTTGATTCTCTCTAGACACTATTGTGCCTTTTTTATTTTTGCAGAGAATTAAGGCATAAAATCATCATCCTAAGAAGAATTGGAATTGTTCAATTAAAATGAATCTTGTCTTCCAGACATCTAGATTACCATGCTTTTACTTTATACAATTCAATCAAACGATCATCCATGGTGATTATTAAAAAAATAATTAAAATAAATAATATTTATTTATATTATATTTTATTTGCAAAATAACAACCTTAACTAACTCAAAAATCTATAAAAACTAATGAATACATACAATAACAATAATTAATTATCAAGATAAAGTTGTCAATTCGGTATTAATTAACAGTTTTTCTTTTTTTATATCAATTTCTAAACTAAACTCTTAACAATTCAATTAATCAATTAATGTAACTCTAGAAGCCAGATGGAAAAAAAATAATGCATATATACCTACTCCACTTAGCCAAATCAAATAATAATTGTAATTGGCTAATAAATATTCTACAAACCCTTCAAAAATGAATTAAAAGTTTATCCCAGTTGCTTAAAATATTATCAAAATACTTATACTTAACAAAGCTATAAAAGTAGCTGCTATTGAACTATGAGTAGTTTTATAAATATAAGATTGAGCCAAAGTGATGTTAATCAAGTTTAATAACCATACACTAATTAATGATATTTTCAATAATGTGTCTCTATAAGGAAATGGAAAATTCTATTCAGAAGCAAACAAGGTTATGATAAATACTCCTGAGATGACTAATTATAAAAGATTTCTAAATTTGGTATACCAATTTCATAGATGGAAAAAACTATGATGAATCTGATTTCTAAAACTCTAGTCTTTATCATTTTGGCCATATAAAATGGTAAAATGCATGCAATTGGAAATGTAAGTATCTCAAGAAATTAAATTTAACCTTCTGTAAATTAACCTCTCTTCATGTGAATTTGTGCTAAATCAATTGGCATTTATCCTATTCTGAAGAAACAAAAAAATAAAAAGAGAACAATCAAATGTCTATTTGAAAAAGCTCCCATAGCAGATTTATACGCTTCAATGATCTAATATAATTATATTCATACATCTTAATTAGTAGTTGTTTCATTATGGATTATTATAATGCATGCAACTCCAAGTCCTGCTGAAACATAAGATAAATCCTTGAATGCAACTAAAAATTATTGATAAATAAACTTGACAAAGTAATGAATGGTACTTCCTGAGGAATTGCATTAATATATGTATTACAAAATTCAAGTGAATTGAACATCTTAAAAATGAATGCTCCAATGAATCCTCCAATCAAAATTCCTAGAAATTGAGCCAATGCTCCATACCCTCTATCCTGCTTATCTAAACTTTCAACTAACCAGGCTGCTATTATGAGATCAATGCAAGCCAAAAAACATACAATCCAAAATATATTCCAAAACCATATACTAGGATCAAGGGATTAGAAATTTGAAAAATATAACAGAACTCTAAGAATTAAAAACTTAACTATACCCTAATCCAAAAAACAAGAGTGTCAATTAGCTTCTTCTTCTACCCATTTTGTCCAAACTCACACTATCTATAATAGGTGAAACTAAGTATCTAAACAAGTAAGGAAAAAGCACGATCATATAGTTATATCTATTAATCTCAATCCCTTTATCTATCAAATTTTAAGGAACACTGTATAAGATAAGTCCTAACATGATTCCTTCAAAACAATAGAAAATTGAAAGAGGCACCAATCTTTTGATGAAAACCATTATATAATAATTTAATATTCAGGTATAATAAGGGTCTTGTATAGGTTTCTTTCGAATAAAGAGATCTCTAGTAAACTCCCTGGAGTTTTTACTCCTGGAATGTAAGAATTAATGCTCTTCTGATGTCTGTATTTATTTTATTTAATACCTTAGATAAAGATTTTCTTCTTCTCATATAATCATAATTGAAGTCCTCTTCTTCAGTATTACTACTCAATTCAGAAGATGAATGAGTTGCTTAAAGATCATATTATGGTCTAGATTACTATTTAACTTCTTTGAGTATCTTATCCACCATTCCTTTTTAACATTTACATCTTCCTTGCATGATCTCTAAGGATTTCTTAACAGCTAGTAACGAATTTTCATTGTCTATTTTTTACTTAACTAACAACTCTTCCAACCATTCATTCTTTTATACCAATTAAGCCAACTCTAATTAATATTCTTTTGATATAATTTTTATCTTATTTTTTAACTCAGATTCTTTCTATTTGTAGCGATTTATTTCGCTTGCCAATAATCTATTTGAAATTGCAAGTTCTTTTGCTTTTTGTTCTAAATGTGAATTCTTTTTCATAGTAGGTCTAAAGTGTAATTCAGATTGCTTATGATATTCTATTGCATTCTATACAAACCTTAAAAAATCTGATTCATGATGTTTTTGATCTCTCTACATAGAATCTCTCATAAAATCACTATCACTTTTTGAGTTATTAAGCTTGAAAAACTAATCAAATAATTTCTCCCCTTCTATCTCTTCTAAATCTGTTATAGGAGTTCCTTATCTATAATTATTCTACAAAGTAGACTTTGCTCTTTAATGCTTCTTAGTTTCAGCTGTCTATCGATGTAATTATGTTAAATCATTATATTCTTAACGTAATCCAAATGACTGTTGATCATTTGGAGATCTCATCTGTCTGAGCTCTCTTAAAATGATTAATTTTATAGTGTACTTGCATAATTGATTGTCTATTTCCCATACAATTAACTAAGAGACATTTTAATTAATAAAATCAATAATTGATAATAATATCAATCTACCCTGTTTTTATTTAAATTTTGTTTTACTGTCACTTGATTTCTTACTCAAATTAATAAATCAATTATTTGATAAGCAAATAATCAAATAATGGTGTATTTCTTATGTCCATGTTTTCTATAAGATAAAAAATCTTTAACTTACTTTATGAATTCTATTTATAATGTATTAAAAAAAAATAAGAAAGTATTAAAATTGATAATAACAAATATCATAAGGTAGTATAAATAAATATCAGAAACCCAAGCATTTTTGAGTTTCAAATATATAATATCAATATAGTATTATGGAATAACTAATACTGTGTAAAACCATTCCCATCTCAATAAGAATAATAACTAAATTAATAATAATTATGATAATTATAATAAAAACCTGCTCCTTGAAATAAAAATGAAGAAGAAAAGTCAGAAAAAATAATAAGGCAAAATTGATTCATAATTATAAACTAACTTTTGATACTTTTGATTGCCAGAGAGAACCTTTAGCATCAAGAGATTTTGAAATTGAATATAAAAACTTTTATATATCTTAGATTCTTATGGAAGCTTATTATGAATTATCAAATAGAATTAAACTTAATCATATGGAAAAGTGTTATTTTTGATACAGAAATAATTGCTTTGGATTCTTATAGAAAATTGATGAGCATTTCAAAATATAGGCATTTGCTATTCATGGTTTTTATGAGGAAGTTCCTGATCTTTAAATTAGAGATGCTTGTATATGGATATGGAGAGGAGAGGAAATAAGATCCCTTACTATTTTATATATAGAAAGATCATCGAACTTTTGACTATTTATAATTGAATAAACTTAATGTGGCAAAACCAAAAGACAAAGCATTATTTGAAGAATACTATTTAAATAAGACTGAAGATAAACCTAAGTTTAAGGAATGATTGCAAAAGAATTATATTATTTAAGTTGAATTAAATATTTATAAAAAAACACAAATGTTATAATGCACATAAATTTATCAATTGTTTATATCAAAATTTCCAATTTTATCTCTTACTACAGATTACAAAACTCCACCTCTGCCACCAGGTTATTTAAAATTAGGTCTTTATAATGCTTAATCATAACTATGGTAGAAAATATATATTATACGTTTTCTTATGAGGAAATTAATGAATGTTAACAAATTTTTTATCTAAAATAACTCCAAAAAACATGTTTAATGCAAATCCAACAATAATCTCCAATAAGATCTATAAAATTAAGAAAATATTGATACATCTAGAGGTATATGGTATTAATCAGCCATATCCTTATAGATTAAATGTTTTCTATATCTAATCAAAGAAATAGCTGAATGAATTAATAATATAAAGCCAATCACCTTAAGCATTAAATTATATTAATTTTAATATATAAAAATCAATAATCATCATTTTTATTATTAAATTTTGATTATACTAATAAACTGACTTCGGTATTTTTCTTTTCAATTCTATCATCCAATTAAATATCTTATTCTGATCTCTTTAGATTTTCATTGATTTTCATAGTCAAAATATTTGAGCTACCAATTAAGATTAGCATAAATATCATTGCTAAAGTAGAGCATAACTAATTATCTCCCTATATGAATATTTATGTTCAGATACCTTAAGAACTAAAATTTCAGGTATTCCTTGTAAGAAATTAAGTAGATTTCCAAAGAACCAACATGGAAATTGTAGTATTTTCACTGAGAGGAAAACATAATTCACAAGAAATTTCAAAAGTCAAAGCCATAATAGCAGAACTTCCACACATTAAAAAATAAACAATAAAGAAAAAAACTTTGTTTAAATGAAGTGCTAGTATGAGAATCCAAATAAAACCGTAACTAAATATTACAAATTCTTAAGACTTTTTTATAGGATTAAGTCTTCTTTATTGCAGTTCCTACACAAACATCTCCAATCAAACCAGCTATAACACCTACCAAAACTAAATTGCTTTAATCTTTAAGTGTATAATTAAATGGTGATATAAAATATTTCATTTAAAGAGTAAATAATGTAATAGTTCCCAAGATAAAAGCAAAACTAATTGTTAATAAAATAAAATCAAGGTTATTAGTTACTATTATACTGGCTTTATGATAATCTTCTCTAACGCATTCCTAAAGACTTAAAAATATTANTCTGCCACCAGGTTATTTAAAATTAGGTCTTTATAATGCTTAATCATAACTATGGTAGAAAATATATATTATACGTTTTCTTATGAGGAAATTAATGAATGTTAACAAATTTTTTATCTAAAATAACTCCAAAAAACATGTTTAATGCAAATCCAACAATAATCTCCAATAAGATCTATAAAATTAAGAAAATATTGATACATCTAGAGGTATATGGTATTAATCAGCCATATCCTTATAGATTAAATGTTTTCTATATCTAATCAAAGAAATAGCTGAATGAATTAATAATATAAAGCCAATCACCTTAAGCATTAAATTATATTAATTTTAATATATAAAAATCAATAATCATCATTTTTATTATTAAATTTTGATTATACTAATAAACTGACTTCGGTATTTTTCTTTTCAATTCTATCATCCAATTAAATATCTTATTCTGATCTCTTTAGATTTTCATTGATTTTCATAGTCAAAATATTTGAGCTACCAATTAAGATTAGCATAAATATCATTGCTAAAGTAGAGCATAACTAATTATCTCCCTATATGAATATTTATGTTCAGATACCTTAAGAACTAAAATTTCAGGTATTCCTTGTAAGAAATTAAGTAGATTTCCAAAGAACCAACATGGAAATTGTAGTATTTTCACTGAGAGGAAAACATAATTCACAAGAAATTTCAAAAGTCAAAGCCATAATAGCAGAACTTCCACACATTAAAAAATAAACAATAAAGAAAAAAACTTTGTTTAAATGAAGTGCTAGTATGAGAATCCAAATAAAACCGTAACTAAATATTACAAATTCTTAAGACTTTTTTATAGGATTAAGTCTTCTTTATTGCAGTTCCTACACAAACATCTCCAATCAAACCAGCTATAACACCTACCAAAACTAAATTGCTTTAATCTTTAAGTGTATAATTAAATGGTGATATAAAATATTTCATTTAAAGAGTAAATAATGTAATAGTTCCCAAGATAAAAGCAAAACTAATTGTTAATAAAATAAAATCAAGGTTATTAGTTACTATTATACTGGCTTTATGATAATCTTCTCTAACGCATTCCTAAAGACTTAAAAATATTATTACATCTGAAGCACTAAAACTAGGAGGAGTTTTTGGTTTACTTAAAAAGAAAAATATTGGTGGCAAACATAATAAAATCATTAATCCAAATAATAGAAACATTAAACTTTCAATTAAAGCTCTTCCTAATTCTTTTTATTCGTCCCTGGGATCATCATTAATTTAAAAGTCTCCTAATATAATTAATGGTATTCTAATAGCTATTCCTGAACTTGCGTTAAAAACTAATGCAATTATCACCATTATAAGGATTCTATTTTCAGGAAAAAACCAGTTTGCAACAAATTTGGATGCACTTATCAATCTAAAAGGAAATCCTACTAAAGAGATCAATTATCCAATAAAGAAAAACCAAAAAGAAACATTAATGAAAATTGCAAAAATTGAACCTACAAAAGTTAATGAGCAACCTTTAATACTTCAATTACTTATACCTATGATAATACTAATTCGAATTCCATATTTTTCATTGATTATTTTTCCTGGTATTATCATTATTACAGAGAAAACAGTAAAACTTATTGTCAAGAATTGTAAATATCTCCATCATTTAATGTTCTTTTACCTACTATCAACTTGATAAACTAATGACATTTCCTTCACTATTGGAGAAAGCGAAAATCCGAACATTATGTTTGAAAGCAAAGCACACAAAAATAAGACTAATTGTAACCAACGCTAAGGATATTCAACATATTGATGATGTATTTTATCTGTTGGATATAATTTATTCATTAATCTATATATTAAATATATTCATCATAAATATAGTTTATTTTTATCATTAATTTATTTAATTTCATCCATTCTCTATTTTGCATTATTCTTATCCTTCTTAGCATATATTGAATACCCTTTTAGTGTAGCATTCCTTTAGGCATTCTATAATTCTCTTAAATCTTATTATGCACGCAATCCATTTTGAAAACTATTTATTTATTATGTATTCAATTCTTTATCTCCAGTTAGAATTTCAAAACTTCTACTATAAACCGCATATAATGTATTCGTGTTTTTACGAATAATCATCTCACTATCCCTTATTTCTATTAATACTGTTTCTTTATCAAAAAATTTAATTCTCTTGCTTTAATTGTTCAACAAATTCTAAGTATCTACTTTTTATCCTTAAACATTAACTTTTTAAATTTCATCATTTGGTTTAATATAATATTCTTAATCTTTTGTATCATTTGTCTTTATAGATTAATTTCTTATAGAAGGTTGATTAGAAAATATATCTTTACCCAGCTTTGGTCTTTCATTGTCTTTTTAATCTTCAACAATCTGATTCTACAACTATGGTACTTCTATCTATTATTTTTTCATATTTGTTTAATTTTCAGTATTTATTTATTAAGTATCTAAATATCTATTTAATCGATAAGATATTGGAATTACTCTTTTCTCAGGGAGTGTTGGATTGAAATTTTAATTCATAATATCTAAATTTTTTCCTGATAGATTTCTTTAACTTTCAATCTTTGTATCAGTTCTAAGAACTAATCCATCCTGAAATTAAAGTGTTTAGACATACTAATAAACATCTTATATTGTTTTTAATTCATCTAAAAGTACTGTTTTAAACTAACTTAGTCTCTATCTAGTTAAAATTAATGGATCTTTAATAGTTGGAAGTAATTTATTGAAAAATTCACATATGCACTCTTTCAACATAAGTATTTCCTCATAAGTATTCATTGATAATATTTTTATATATAAAATTTTCAGTCAATTAGATTTTTTATACTGTTCAAAATAACACAAGAAATCCTCTATTATCTAATGTTCAAACCTTTGATTCAAAAATCAAATGTCTTTTTCGTTTTGCTCTTTAATTTTTGAACTCAAATATTATTTTATAGAAACTTAATAATTTTTCTAAATTCCATTTTCTCAATATTTTTAATTATGTATTTTTCATTCTATTCAGCCATTTTTATTAATTCAATAAATCTATGAAAATTCCCTTTTTGATACATTTGATGCTTATTATATTGATTTGATTTAAATATCTGATGATAAATGAAAAGATTATAATTTTTAAGAATATCGTAATGGAGTGTTATTGATTATTATAATCATATTTTGATTTATAAAGGCATTTAAATTGCTTACATTCTTTATTATTTATACATATAATTATGAAAATTTGAAGATCTTATTCATAAGGTTTTGAACCCTTATTTAATAAATTTATAATATTTTTTGAACTTGATTTTATTTGAAATAAATACTATTCATACTAAAATAAATGAAATACTTTTTTCACAACAATCTTCTGTTTTGTACTTTTTGAGATATGATTTGATTTTATGGTGTAGAATCAATGTAGTTTATTGAATAAAATATTTATTTTTGATATTAGTTTTGAATTGTTAAGTTTATGATGGTTAATAAATATAATATAAATTAGATTGTATTTCTAATCTATTGATCTTTCAATATATTATCAATTTTCAATTAGAAGAATAAAATAAAAGAAACAAAAAGAGAATGAGAAGAATATATTAAGATTAGTATAAGCACATTTTAAAATTAAATAAAATCTTTTTTTATTTAAGCAAGCATAATTAATGGGAATTTCAAGAGATAGTAGACACAAAAGAAGACTTACAGGAGGTCGTATGCCAATCCATAAGAAGAAAAGAGCCTTTGAGAAAGGAAGATAAGCTGCAATGACTAAATTAGTATCAGGAGAAAAAAGAGTTAGAAGATTAAGAGTGAGAGGAGGAAATTTCAAATTCAGAGCACTTCGTTTATCTGAAGGCAATTTCTCTTGGGGAAGCCAAGGTGTAGCTAAAAAAGCTAAAATTGTTGAAGTTGTTTATCATCCATCTAATAATGAATTGGTCAGAACAAAAACTCTTACAAGAGGTGGTATTGTATAAATTGATGCTACACCATTTAAATAATGGTATGCTAAGAAATATAATGTTGAATTGGGATCAAAGAAGAAGAAGGTAATATATAATCATTATTTAGGAAACAACTGGAGAACAACCAAAGAAATTAACTTCTAAATAAGAATAAAGAACTAAAGAAAATTTTATTGATTAATTTGTCTAAGAATAATTTGCCAATCAAAGATTATTAGTCAGAATTACATCAAGACCAGGATAATCTGGAAGAGCTGATGGCTATATTTTGGAAGGAAAAGAATTAGAATTTTACATTAAGAAAATTGAATAGAAGAAGAAATGATTTCATCATCAATACATTAAATTGCATAATATAATAATGTACATCCAAGTAATTATTGCTTTTCATAAACACAATTTAAATTAAGATATTTAAATTGATATCATTTTTTTCTCTTTTCTGATCCAAATAACTTCTAATAGTTAGCTAATTTATTAACAGTGCTGTGAGTTGTAGTTTTAGGAGATGATAAATTACCAAATTACTCTGTTTTAATTCTTTCAATATGATTTTTTTGATTTTAATCAGGAATTGTTGTTAATCTGTCTGAACTCAATAATTATTTTGATTAATCAAACAAAAGTTTCAATTTCTTGCAATATGAAGAATTAATTACTTTTAATTCTTAAATAGACATTTGAGATTATTATTATGTTTTCGAAAATCCTTGACCCTTATTGAGAGATTCTTAAATTATTTAAGAAGACTTAGTCAAAAGATTATGCTTCTTAAAATAATCATGAGTTTCATTTTTAATATTTGTTTTTAATAATTTTTTACTTTCTTAAGGAGAATGCTAAATCAAAATAAGTATTTTTACCTTAGCTTTATTTAATAGTTATTTTGAAGGAGATAACGATTCTTTTTATAAAAAATCAGATTATAATTTATTGACATTCACTACATTTTTTCTATTCTTATACTCTTAAATTTGAACCTTTTAATAGTAAAAGTTTAATAGCTAATATTTAGCTGTATCGACATTCTAATAAAATGGATATGATAGAAATTACTAGAAATTCGAATTGCATATTGATTGTAAATTATTTCCTGAATTCTGCATCTCCTTTATTAAATTCTTCTTCATCAAAATTATATTTTAAAGGTTCTGGTTTATATGGAGTTTATAATTATCTATTAACTATTTTTTCAAAATCAACATCAGCAAACCAAGGATGAGAAAGAATTTCAATAACACCCTCTTTTTATCCTAATCTTTCTGTTGGATCTTTTTAAAGTAGTGAAATAATCAAATCTTTTAATTCTTCTGATATTTAAACATAATCAGGAAATTAAATATTTTCTGTTAAAATTGAATTATAAATTTCTTATGTATTATGAGAATAATAAGGAGGCAAGCCTGAAATTAATTCATAAAGCAATGCTCCTAAACAATAGCAATCAACTAAATAATTATGACCTGTCTTCATAAGCATTTCAGGTGCCATATATTCAGGTGAACCACAAAATGAATATGCAAAATCTTCAGATGTCATATCTGGTTTCGATAGTCCAAAATCACTTAACATTAAATGACCTTATAAGTCTAATAAAATATTTTCTGGTTTTATATCTCTATATACAATATTTTAAGAATGTAAATAAGCCATTCCGATACATATTTCAACAAAATAATATTTAGCATCTTTTTCATTTAATTTTTTTAATTTTCTTAAATGATAAAATAACTCTCCTCCTGCACAATATTCTAAAACAAATGCTATATAAAATTTTGATTCAAATGCATAATGTAAAGGTATTATATACTGATTCTCCATTTTCACCATTATATCTCTTTCATTTTATACTATAATTTCTTTTTTGTTATCCATAATAAATTTTTTATCAATCAATTTAAGTGCATAAAATATACCATTATCTTTCTTTCTAACTAAATATACTCTTGAAAACCCTCCTACACCTATACATTTGATTAATTCAAAATCCTTTAAGCCCACCTTTTTAGTAATTTAAGGCTATGAATACAAAGGTTATAAAGATAGAGTGATTCCTTAAAAAACTGACAGACTTAAATCAGGAAGCGATAAATAATAATCTAAAGGAACTTTTTTTTAAACTGTACAAAATTAACATATTTTTTTGATCTCTAAAATTATATATAATATTATACCAGCTTAAATTTAATCATCATCTGTTGAACCTGTACCTCCACATGATTATGTATTGTTTTTTTCAATACTTGCTATCTATTAAATTAAATAATTATAAAGATCACATGTAGATTAATTAACATAATCAAATAAGTAATAATATCTATATGAATTTATTATTTATTACTTTGAATTTTTATAATATAAGATTATCTAAAGTTTCTTTTTAGGATCATATTCAAATTACTCATCATTCTTTGTTTTAGATACTTATTTAGGCTATGGAGTTTGTTCTGTTTTTGAGTGTCCTTAATTCAAAGATTTTGAATCATTTTCTGATTTTTTTGTTGGTTTTTACTACATTTATTAAGAAGATCCTTTAAGACCTTTTTAATTTATTAATACATCTTCTAATGATTATCTATGATTAGTAGATGTATCTGAAATAACTGATTGTTTATTTAATTTTAAATTAAAGTATTATTAATATTGGTTTTAAATTATTTAAGCATTTTTCAACTTAAATATATCAATTATTTTACCATATCGAATAAATATTAGTCTTTTTATTTTTATTTTTTTTATTTTGGTTTACTTTAACCTGTTGGTGACTAATTATAAGATGTTTTAGTTGTTAAAGGAGGCTTAACTAATTCTTTTTTCTAAATTATACTATTTATAATTTACTTCTAAAGATACTGCTGCTAATGATAGATTCTTGTTTTTCAAACTTGCCTTTTTTGAATTGCTACCTTCTTCTGTGTGAACACGTAATTCTGCAATCTATTAAAAAATTAAGTAATCAATAAATACATTAGGTTATGAAGTTTTTACCCTATCACTTTTTAATGTTTGCAAAAATACATTATCAATACTTTTACTCCCTTTTAATTTAGCTCTGATTGTATTTGCTGTTTAAACTAAAGAGTTTCTTTCCCTCTTAAAATAATCAAGCAATTTTGCTTTTCCTTTTTCAATAGGTCTCTCTGTTTTTACTGTGCCAACAAGTGCTTTAGTATTTTTTTTTTCTTATTTTTGTGGTGATTCTTAAAAACTATTCCTGCCAGCAATCTTTGACATCTACTGACTAAGCTTCTTCATTATCGATGATGTATAATAATTTATATAATAAATTAATGTAAAGTTTATTTTTTTTTATTTTATTGAATTATTTATAGTCTAATTTTTTCTCATACATTTTTTTGCCATTTAAAGAAATTTAAAATAACTTCAAAGATGAATGAATCATTACAATTTTTTTATTAATTAAACTATCAGTAATTAAATACATATGGATAACTTATTGATTAGAGGTATAAACAAAAATTATTTTTCTAAATAATTTCATAAATAAAAAATGTAATTTCATTATCATAAATAAGAAGTCAAAATAGCTTTCAAAAAGAGCATTTAATTATATGAGGGACTATTTTTTAAAAAAATCAATAAAAAATTGGATATCTATAGAAACAAATCTATTTAATTTAGAAATGGGAAGGTAATTGGAAAAACTTGGATTTAAGACATTACGTGTTTCGATGAAGAGATCGAAGATTATTCATTTCATAAAAGAGGATGTCATATAATTCTAAGAAATTCATTAGACATCATCAGAATGTCATAAGATAACTTCATTACTTTAAAGATTAGAAAAAATGTTTCTCATAGAATTTAGTTGAATGATGAAAATTATGTTAACTATCATGAAGGAACTTTAAATGGTTAACCAAATAAATTAATTAATTTAAATTCTTATTACATAGATGAAATGAATTGTATAATTAATGATGGTCAAATACTACCATTAGGATTAAAAATTAAACCATTAATTAAATATACCAAACTCAGATGTTTTAAAATAGCTGAAGAAACTTATTGTTTGCAATAAATAACTAATGAATAATGTTTAAATATTTTAATACACAAAGATAAACAAATTCCATTCTATTAAGATGTTCTTTATTTAGAAGGATAACTATCATATATTAATGGATATTTCTTTCTCTATAACAATAATTAATTATAAATGATTAATTAACATGGTATTGAGTATGAAGAACCTTTACATGGACAATGTTATTTAGATGGATCTGAAATTTTTGTTTTAAGAGATATTTAAATAGATGAATAAATTATCAAAAACAATTTAGAGTTTACAATCAAAACAACCGGAGTCTTATTTAAGATATAAATAATCACTAAATCTCTAAAATTAAAAATGATGTTAGAAGAAAATCAAATACCACCATAAGAAATACCTGATTATTTGGTTAAAATTAATGATTATAAGTTTATTAAGGAAACTGTTAAAAAATTGTGGAAACAAAAAAGCATTAATAAAACTCAATTAATTTAAATATTTAATGTATTAGTTGATATGAAAAAATCTAATAAAATAAGAGCAAAATTAAATTTAATACAATGTTATGAAACTGAAAATCTAGAGAACTTATCATTTTCAAATTGTATTTAATCAGAAACATGTGAATTATCACAATTAATTAGATTTTTTTAAAATCATATCATCTACAATTATGTTCATTTTTTGAATGCCATTATAAAGTATAAATCAAAATTTCTTAACGAAATATTACCAGATGGCTCTTTATTTAATAATTTTGAGCCAACAGAGATTGGAAGTCTTTCTAAATAGAATAAACTTAATGATTTGAGTTTTCTAGGAAGTAATAATATTCCTAAAATAAAAATTGATTATTAAAAGGTTGCAAACTAATGTCTAATTTAATGTCATGGTATTTACAATTTACCATTCTAATAAGAAGATTTTACATTTTTCTTATATACATTATTAGTTTAAGGTAATTAATCAAGATTAACTCTTAAAAATTTCATGCAGGAGTAAGATAAAATTCATACTCTTCTTACATATAATTCAAAAATAGATACTCTTTTTGTATAGTTGAATTAATACTATTAATAACATAATTTAAATTGGTTTGATGAGATGTTGTATTAATTAAGAAAAACTTAATATCCTGTTTAAATATTCTAATCTATACTAGATTATTGTCCTAATTTAACTACAAAAGAATACCTTATTTCTGTAAATGTGGCTTTTGAAAGAATTTAAACATTTTCAACAGATAATTATCATTTATTTTATTAATTGTTAGAATCTTTTATTTTTATTAGAAATTCATTTGATTAAGGAGAATATGATTAATTGTAAACTATAATTTCTTAATTGTAATAATCATCAATTTTATCTTAAATTATTTCAAACTTTAATGTAGTATATTAATTAGGTACTGTATTAAATAAAATTATGGCAAATCCAGATGAATGTTAAAAATGCATAGAGTAATTACTTGAAAATTATCATGTTAATAGAGTTAAATTATTGTAATTTAAAATTTAAGATAAGACATTCAATTTATAAAATTAAAATGAATTGAAATAATGTTTTTCATATGGTTTTAAAAATTATATCAAAGATGATAAAAAAATAGAATTATCAATATTTAGGAAGAATCTTGAATTTGGTAAATATAGAGATGCAAAGCTTCTCTGTCAATCCTTTAATTTAAATATAAATTAATTTGATGAAGTCTTGTCAGATGCAATGCTTAGATATCTATAACTTCAAAAAAAAATTGATTATATTGAAGATGAAAGGAAAAAATTCTTAGAAATTTAGATTGAAATCCAAAAATTAAAAAAAGAAAAATTAGTCAAAACTTAGAAAACTATGAGTCTTTATAAATTTATTATAGAATCTAAAGAAACAGGAAATTTTAGAGATTTAGATTAATTTAAATGTAATCAAATTATATTCTCAATATATCGAAGAACTTAAAATTTAGATTTACCTTATATAAGATTAAAAAAAAAATTAGCCAAAGCTAATGATTTAAAAATTTATGATAGAGATTTTTGTAAATTTATGATTGATCTTGCATAAAAAAATTTTAATGTTAAACCACAAAAGGCTTAATTAATTTTAGAAGATCTTTCTTAAAATGGAGATCAACTAACTTAATCCGAAGTTTCAATAATTTTATTATAATTTTCAAAAGATGAAAACTAAAAGAGAGAATAATATTGGAAAGTTTTAAAATAATCATCAAATGCAGATACAGTTTAGACTTTATTAAATTTTTAGTAGAAACAAACTAAATAGATATAATTAATACCTTAGAAGATTGAAATAATATCCAAAGAACTAATAGAAGTATCTTTAGAAAATTCTGTAAACTTAGCTAAATTTGAATAAGAATATAAAAAATTTTATACAGAAAACATAACTGATATCGTATTTTTGGATAATATATTAAAAGATCCTTAAGAAGCTTTTTTTTTATTATCTTTAAAATAATCATAAAATACAAAGTTCTTAATTTAAAAGTTAGCAACTAGTCATTTAATGAATTCTGAAAAAATCTTAACTCTTTATATTCAAAATTTTATGAAACCATTTAATGTGATTAAGCTTTTATAAGGTGATGACAAGGAACTTGAAGAATTAGCCTAAGCTCTTGTAATTAGTTAAAATAAGTAAATCTTTGATAAAAGATGTATTTTTAATAAAAATGAACGATTAATTTAAATTTAAGAAAGATTGGAAACATTAGAATTGGATAATATTATTCCAGAATTAAGATATTTCAAAGATTTAGACATTAAAGAATTAAAAGTCCAAAATTTTATTAAAGTATTATAATAAACTGATCTTAAATTATATTACTCAAATAATGAATAAAATTTAAAAAGTTATATCAAAAATTAAATTAAACGAATACCTGAGATAATTGATATAAAAATAGATCTAAGATATCATTTTATGATTTATGAAGATATTTTTGGTTTTACTCAAAAAGAAAAACACTTGATTCGGTCATTTATCTATTAATGCATAGAAAGCAAGAAATTAATTTAATACTATGATAATATTTACAAATAAATCATTTCTAAAGAGTTTAATTTTGATTAAGTGAAAGAGGATTTCTATTAAATTATTGAATTAGAATGTATTTTCATAATTGTTGAGATAGCAAAATCTTATTTTAAAAAACATGAAGAAGTTATATAATTTTATTGTTAAAAATTAATATCAAGCTCTTCAAGTAATGATGAAATCGAATTTTGGTACAAGCAAGACCCTCAAGACTAAATTAGGAATATTTTGATAGAAACTTTAAAAAAGTAAAGTTAATCTTTATAACTAAATAATGATATGAGACCATTGATTGTTTGAATAATTAATAATTCATTTTATCAATAAATATGTATTTAGTTTAGTTATAAAATCAATATTTGATTTAATCTTAATTAATATAGCACTAAAGATATAATTAAAGTCAATCATCTTCATCTTGTTTATTATCAGAAAAAATCAATTTATTTGATTAAAAATTATTCATACATTTTCACATTCTATTATGGAAGATTAACATTTAGTTGAATAATTTTAATAAACCAACTAAACATAAGATAAAAAAATAAAAAATTAACAGTCTCAAGATAATGAAGATTAAGAAGAAAAAGTTTAGATTTAAAAAAATTATTCTCATTTTCAGAATTTAAGCTCATCATCAATTTAAAATGTTCTTTCTGATAAAAATAATGACTTTGGATAGAAGAACCAAGTAGATGAATTAAATTTGATTATGTAAGAATAAAAATAAAAAAAGAACTTTGAAACATAAAAAATCGAATAAAATATTTTGAATTAATAGCGTCATCAAAAAAAAGAAAAACTTGTTAAAGAGGTTTTTAAACTTGATGGAATTTAAGTTGACTAAGTCTAAAAAGATAAAAATGATAATAAAGAAGTTAAGAATTATTCTCAAACAAACAATAATTTAGGAGATAAAGATATTAAATAAGTTTCACTTAATATTGTGATGAAATAAATTCCAATAGAAACTTTTGATGAAAAAAATGTAAACGAATAAAGGTCAAATAATGAAAGAATTCAAAAAGGATCATAATAATTAGAAAAGTTTAAATCAATTATCAAGTCTCCAAAATTTGGAAATTCATAAATTTATTCAGGAGATCCCTATTTAAATTAAAGCATCTAATTAGAATAATAATTATAATAAAAAAAACATGTGTAATAATATAATTAGATGATAGAGAATAATTTGAATGAAATTTTTTAATTTTATGCAAATTCATTAATAAATCCTATTAAATTACATACAAAGTATTAAATTTTTGAGCAAAAATAACTTTTAAATTTGAAACAATTTATGTAATTTTGCAAAGATTTTAAATTAATAGACTTATTAGTTACTAATGAATTTATATAAAAATATGCTGGTCAAAAAAGTTAAAAACCTTTGTATTAAATAAAATATAAGAATAGAGTAAAAGATTCATTTATTATTACAAAATAAATTTTACAGGAAATTTTCAAAAAATGTTCAGGAATTAATTAATTAAGTTTTTCAGAGTTTTAATACTCTCTTATAAAAATAGCTGATATTATATTTCCAGTTTCTGGTTCTGTTAAAGCTTTATATTTATATTTTGGTGTTCATAATCCAGATATTTACAGCAAAAAGTTAATAAAAGTGGAAGATACGAATTAGTCAAGAGTTTCAGATCAAGCAACTATGAATATAAAATCAGAAGGAAGAAATATCTTCCCATAAATAGTAAATAAACCGAAAGTTGAAAGTTAAAGAATTTAAGATACATTTGAAATTTCTAAATAAATTAAAATTCAATAGAAAAATGGCACTTAAATCTAAAATAATAAATTTAAGGCTAATTCACTAAGATGGGATGATTTGGGAAATTGTGATTATGATTTTGATCCAAGAAGATTGCTTTTAGAAGAAGATCTTATAGATTAGGAAGATGCATTTTATTTAAAAGAATATATGATCACAAGAAATGGGATAACTAAAAAATAGGATTTTTTAAAGTAATATTAAGAAGACTAAAGGGTTAAATATCAGTAAAATCTTGACTACAATTTAAATTATAAAAAAAATAAAGGTTACGCTGAGGATATATATAAAGAATTTATACCAGATATTCATCAAAAATGGGAGCATAAAAAACATACAACATCTATATCTAAAAGTTACAAATTGGGTGAGGCCTCTTTATTAATTGATTCTAATTAAACCGAAAATTAATCATATTACATATTGCAAAAGTAAAAGTAAAAAGAACAATTAATTCATCCTAATTCGTTTGAGGAGAGAAAAAATTATAATGACATTGAGTAAATTTCATTTGTAAATAAATCCTTTATTAATTAAAATAAGAGTATCTCAAATGAAGGAGGTTATAATAACACATCTTAATTTCAACATGAAAATAAAATGGGCATATAAAAATAGGAAAAGGTTGAAAAAAAAAGAGAATAATCAATTTTGGTGGGAATTAAAAAAAGTTAAGAGAATAAAATAAATAAGATAAGAAAGAAATGATTTTTATTAATATGATTTATAAGTTAAAATCTAATTTATAATAGAATCAAAATAATATTAATTTGGAGAGTATAATATTTGATATTTAAACCATCATTTTATCATTAAATTATATGATATGAAAAATCGAAAACTGTTTTAAAAGAATATTGAAATAGTTTAATTAGTATATTAGATTTTAATTGCTTAAAAGAAATATAAATAAATATAGAGAGGAATAGATTGAGTATAATTCTGAAGTTTTTAATAGATTCAAAGTATTATAGAGAATATAATATTATAAATGAAAAGAGAAATGTGAATAAATATAAAAAAATATACGTTTTTGAATATAAAAATATAATGAAATTCATTGCATTAGCGATGTTAGTGATGTTAGCAACATCATAAGAATTTGTATAATTTTACTCTGCATTTGAAAATGCTGATGTAAGTTAATTAGAAGGATGGACAATATAAGGATCATTGTCAAAGTCATAGGGTGATAATTTCTTTAGTTGTTCATCAGATGCTATTTTTGGAGGACCTAAAGCATTTGGTAAAGGAGCAATAGTTACTAGATAATTTTAATTGCCTCCACATTTTTAGATTAAAATATAAGTTGAAGTCTGGAAGTATAATAATGTTATAAATCTAGATTTGATGCATGGGATACATAAAGATAATTCTTTTATTTAGATAATTACCTTTGGGAAACAATGTGGACTGGAAGTGATGGAACAAAGAGATGTGCAACTCCAGCAGGTGGTAATGTAAATTCATTCTAAGTTGATTAAACAATAACTCATAATCATGCAGCATTATTTATTGCATTTGCATCATCAGCTGATAAAGTAGCAGATAAAGTATAATAATGAATAATAAATGTTTAGATGTCTTGGGGTATAAAAAACTTGAAATTATTTTATTTACCATGTCCAACAGAATGTGGTACATGTTTAGGTCCAGATGCTATTGTTTGTTAAATGTGGGTTCCAGTTTCATCAAGTTGGATTAAAACATTAGATGCAGATGGATGGTAAGTAAAAGGATCTTAAAATGCTATTAAAACAAGTACTTGTGCTGGTATTCCTATTATTGGTGGACCTGGTAATTTTGGTAATAATGTATCTATTTAAAAAATATTTGATAAACTTGTACCACATTATAGAATTAAAGTGATAGCATAATTTTGGAAAATTGATAATTGGGATAATGATAATGCTGTTTTACTTATTGATAATTAAGAAAAATGGAAATAGAATGTAGCATAAGTAGAAGATAAAGAATATTTCATTTGTGATAAGATTAGTCCAGGAGGTGTTGATGGAACAGAAAAGGTTATTAATATAAATTTTGAAACTCCTCATAATTATGGTGCTGCACTTGTTAAATGGACTGCTACAGTTAAAAAATCCTCAAAATAAGCATCTTGGGGTATTAGATAATTCCAACTTTATGTTGCTTAATGTGCAAGTAATTGTGCAACATGTACTGGTCCAAGTGTAGAAGATTGTACAGCTTGTGTATCACCTTATGTATTATTGGATCCAGAAGATGGTAATGGATCAGGTTGTGTATTAAAAGGAGATTGGGTTGAATTTACATCAGAGTTTTAAGGTTCAAGTTGGACAGCTAAT